GTTTTGTTTAGGTTATTTGCCACGCTAGTTGCGTAAATATCTCAGGACGATGGATTGCCATGAAATTTGATTCAGATTTTCATGTCCCCCTCAGGATGAATTGTAATAACTGTGGTGATCCTCTGACTTTTCATCTAGTCCCACCATCAGTTCATACCAATTACATCAGCCCCAGCTGTACTTGTGTTTTGTGCTAAATAGCAAATGTTAACATGCTAACACAAAAAAGTAAGATGCTAAACATGTTACCTTAAAAAACATCAGCATGTTAACAATATTGTGTTAACATGCTGAAAACACTGTTAGCATTTAGCTCAAGGCACCTGTCTGCTAGCATGGCTGTTGTTTCTCATCGCATTTCATGTTATCTCATCAAGTATTTTCAAAAATGCAATGGCTGTGACAGACAGGGAGTAATATATTGACAATATGGGTTATTTGCAACAGCATGAAAACAATACTTTTTATGTGGTTTGAAAAATTTGATCTACTTATTGGTGGTGGTGAGTGCAAAGACTGTAGAGTTCATTAACATAACATTAACATACTGTTCCCTTAAACTCACCAGCTGCTGTTTAACAGAACATGGAGGAGGTCCTGCTGAAAGAGAAACCCTTCATGTGTTTCTTCCTTTGGAGAGCTGCTCAGTTTCCAGTCCAGAGAAAAGTCAGCTGGGGACTGCCAACCACCACCCACCGTCTTTCTGATGTTAATGAACATCCGTTTATACGGAGCCTACTTTTCTACACAAATGTTGGCAAAGCACTTGGCTCAGTGTTTTTGGCCAAACACACTGTGACAGCTCCTCGCACCCAAACAGAAAATGTGTGTCAAAGAAACGTAGGTAGTCTTTGCCATCATCACTTGCTGCCAGAAATAAAACATGATTACTGAGCTTGTATAGAAGCAGAAAAGGGCATGTTGCTGTATTGTATTGGACATGTTTTGTCAACGCAGCACATCAATAGACACAATGTAATATTTTACACTTTAAGCTAATATTATATGCTGACTAGTGTACCATACCTGATCCAGTCAATGTAAAACAACAGGGATTATTGTTTCCCGCAGTTTTATTGAAAATCATCACAGAAATGTTGAACTGTTTTGCATCAATAAAAGAAAATTAGATTAAGAAAAAAATCAATTTTCAAATACCCTGCAAACCTCTGGAGTGGCAAATATTGCTTGACAGGTTTGGATTTTTAACCATCATGTGACGTATTCAGATAAGGAGATGAGATTTTTCCCAAAGTCAAAAGAGAGGTTTAGTTATTTTAAGGATAAATACTGTCATGGAAATTTATATTGCTGGTGAGGAATTAAGCAAATAATTGAGTTACAACAAACCGTTGTCTTTGAAGAATTTATTAATAAAAGAGAATAAACAGAGAAGTACTATAAGACATATAAAGCTGGTCCAGAGACCTGCTGCCTAGGGCAGCTTCAGGCGTGTGGCCCAGAGAAAAGGAATGCATCATCATTTACACAGTCTAGGGTTCTATGTTTTGGGGAACAGAGATCCACTCCCAGCCTTGAATGAACATTCAAGGAGAAGAGAGGAACAGCAAGAAAGGAAAACACTAAATAATCTCACAGCTCTGACATAAACTGTACATGTGTGAACAGACTAATATGAGTATAATAAATAAAAAGTTAACCACGAGAGAAACAATATATATATTTATACACACAACTTTAAACAATAGTAATAGTAATAAGGGAAACGAACATGTATAAAAGATTAAATGTCAGAGGAAACAAGTTTCTGCCATTACAATTATCAGGAAACTGTTTTGGATTTTATTTATGCTTACTTGTCCTGATTTGTTCTTAATCATTTTGACTAAAATCTTTATTCGAATGCTTTTTACTTGGTATGCCTTTAAAAAAAAAAAAAAAAAAGAACCACATACTTATTTGAATTACTAGAATGACACTGTTCCACACAACCTACATAGTCAAATTGGAGTACCAGGATTGTCTGTATTTGGTGTCTTGCCTCTCATTCAGATGATTCCTCTCGCTCATCTATCAGTGTGACACCAATTCAACCACTAGGTTAGTTTCTCTCAATCAATAAATTCTCTCCTGTGTTGTTGAATACATGGATTATTGGATTCTTCGCCTAATAGGATGCCACAGACCATGATGTCCTCTCATTATTGCATAGATTGTATGTCCTTTTGTGTGTTTTTTTGTTTTTTTTCCTGCCCCCCAACACAACCTCTGGTATGTTTCAGTAATGGGCTGGGGTCAAACCCCTAACACAACCCCTGCCCAATGGGCTTCCAGCCAATCCACTGGGGAGGAGGCATCAGCTGCAGGTTCAGATAATGTTTAGCTTCAAAACCCCACTGCTGCAGGCCCTGCTGCTTACTTCATAGCTTCCAGAAAGTATGTACTGCACATAAATAACTGCTGTTATTGTCATTTTAAAGCAAGATTCCCTTCTGCAGAGTGTTGAAGAATTATTGTGAGCGAGGTTGAGGTGAGCTGAAGAAGTTTTCGAGATGAAGTTTTAACATAGCATGGTTTAATGGGACTTGGCCGAGGACAAGCACATTCTCACTCCCTGCTCCTCACATATTGATGCTTGGTCAAGACCACTCGCTTTTTGTTATTCAACGTTTAGTCCTCTGCGGTCAAGTGAGCAAAGGATAGCAACAATAAATATGCAACATCCGGCAAAAATAGAAACGATAAATATGCAGCGTATTGTTAGACTTTCAAAATAAAACGGTTGTCGATAAAATGCTGATTTAGGCACCAACAGTGGTTAGAGTTAGGAAAAGATCATGGGTTAAAACTACGTAACGTAAATAAAAACATTTAATGAAGTCGAATTTTGTTTCATGCGGGAAACAACCAACGGTCTCCTGGTTGGAAGTCTGGTTTCTGGCCCCCATCCACCTCCTTACTCTGTCTTTTCTGCTTTTTTTATACAGTCTATGATTTTCTGTTAAATATGAAATACCCCTCAGAGACTGCGTTGAAGTATGACGCTATGGGGATCCCCAGTGAGTTAAAAACTGATGCTGACGGGTCTTGTCACCATATACAGTCTATGGTCTTAACCATTCGTCCATATGTGACGAGATGGGAGTTCCTGTCTGGGGATATTTATCCTTCCTAGATTGACAGAGATTCACTGACTAAATAAGGTTATTGTTCACCCCTTCGTGTGCGAAGAGTCTTTTGGTTATTGGTTCATTTCAAGATATGTTGTGTGTCCTTCAAGCAACATTAGCAACACTTTCTACTTTGTGATAGTCTGTCTGTCTGCAATGAAACAAAACACAGATTATCTAGATCATTGGTTACATAACAAATGTATAAACATGCATCATTATCAAGTCAGCTGCGTCAGTCAACAAGCAGGGAGAGAGAAGGCACAGCATCTGACCTAGAGATTTGGAGAGTCCCTGGCTGTCAACTTTGGCTTACTTTATCTAGCAATTGACCCTATCATTACCGAGGGAAATGTGTCATAGTACCTAAATGATTCCAGTGAGGACAATATCAAAATCCGCTCCTTCCTTTAACTCCATGATCTGGAGGAAGTTATTCACACATTCATTTCCTGCTGCTTTTAGTTCTGTATAGCCAGCCTCTACCTCCCTTTGCAACTTGCTTGTCAAAATGCTGCTGCAAGGACAAAAAGTCCACATCACCTGGTGTTGGCATCTTTTCACTGCCTTTTAGTGCCTCAGATCTTAATGGCTATTATTAAGGCACTACACAAGCTGGCCTCTTTATATATCTCAGATCTTTAACGCAGCTATAGTCTTCTTTAAGGGGCTTTATAGCCAGTTTCAACTCATTGTTGAGCTGTCTGGCCCACAACTTTATGGTTTTGGTTCACTCTCACCGCTCTCATAGCGTCGTTAATGCTGAAGCAGGCAGCTGTTTCCAGTGAAAAACTTCTAAAAACCCTCTGTATGCTACCTGCTATCAGCACCAGTTAAAATCTAGCTGGTGAACACCATAGACTGTATATAGGTGAACACAGTGGACCGTTTAGCAACGATCAGAGCCAGATGATTTTGACAAATAAACGACTCGATTAAACGCCTGGTCTGGTGTCTATAGAAGTTCTTTGGATGTATAAAACCTCCTAAACCTCGCCGCCCGCTTTAGCTGCTTATAAGTTGCTTAGATCAATAATACAAATAAAAACATATGATATGAACATATGTTAATATGGACATGACTATCTTAAATCGTTAACATTAGATTCTCCACAGTTCAATTGTTCAGTTCATTAAACATAAACAACAAGCTTCATATGGATTTACCTATGTAACCAGCATGGTAGCCGGTTACATTTACCTTTGAAGCACTTGTTAAGTCCAATTGCATAGTTCCTTGATTATTAAATTCCTTTACTCACCGATCAAAAGAATCAAAACAGCTTTTCATAAAAATGAATCCAAGTTGTGAATCCTGTCATGTGAAGTCCATTGCTCTCTGTCTGCTAACTTCTGCCATGCTTTTCTTATCCTGCACCATGTTTTCGTTACATTGCTGCCTACAAAATAAAAGTACATTAGCCGTCTGTCAGTGGTAGATCAAATGAATGACGTGTATTTGATATTATTTGATGATTTTTATACGAGTAATATTCATACTGTTCAAAATAAATAAACTGTTTCATAGTAGCCTATTTCAGTTTTGTGCAAAAGGAATTAAAGGTCTGTCCCATATGGACACCTGTCCAAATATAGGCAGGGTCAATTCAGTGATTTTAGCAAATAAATGCCCGGGCTAAGTTTTACAGTACATTTGCCAAGTAGCCAGAAAAACAACTCTAAAGAATGATAAAGTTGCTCAATAATTGCTGGATGTGTAAATTAGCAAATGTTTGCTAACAAGTTCCCAATATCAATGTTGTTTTCACTGCCCTTAAGTGACAATAATAATTTGTTGCAGGTTTTAACCTCTTAAGTGTCCTCTAGATTTATTCACACACACATACACAAGAGAATTAATGTGTCAGATTAAACTTTCTTTAATTTTTACAATTATACATTTAATGAAACATCATATGGACATAAAAATGCTGTAGACATTCAGAAGTTTTCCACAACTATTAGCCTTTGTGTGTGTGTGTGTGTGTGTGTGTGTGTGTGTGTGTGTGTGTGAGAGAGAGAGAGAGAGAGAATACTGTATGTCTATGTGTGTGTGTTGACCTCTGTGTTAATCATTCTTTATCCCCTTATAATTCTCATTTGGACAGACACTAAAGTTTTCTGTGTTTAATTTCTTATGTAAATGAAAGTTGTGTGAGCATTCTGTGTATTTCTGCAATTATATGAGTTTTAAAATCCCAACCTAGAGTTTAAATCCATTTGCAGATGTTGTGCTTATAAACTTAAACATACATGAAAGCATGAACATGAACCCAAAAGATATTCCCAGAGGTCACAAACTTGCACATGAAATGGAAAATTCCAGCCACTCTTTCTTCCCTCGATGTGAGAAATGGTCTTATCACAGATCCAACTGTGTTAGTCGCTCTGCCATTTCAGCTTATGCTTGTGTCTGAATGCCAAGCTCCTTTGAATGCTTGGGTGTCTTCCAAAAATGCTGAGCTGTAGCATGAAAGTCAGCATTGTTACATAATTTCCACGGTTTGCAAGATTTACACAAGATAATCTGATGCTGTACGATTTTAAATGTGTCAGATGTGATTCAGATCTTATTTGGACACCCTTTCAGACTCATCCAGATGAATTCCTAGTATGCAAGCATATGAGAATCAGCTGACCTGGAGGATTTCAGCCTCCGCATTGGATATTTCAACCCTCATGAGAGGTGAAGAGGTGAAAGTAATGCGTAAAGTGAGCACCTAATCTGTGTGGAGAATGTGACCTTGTGTTAAGGGGCGTGGCAACTATAAGGCCGATGTCCCCAGTCCCTCAGAACAAAAGGACACAGTATGTGCCTAAACTTGCAGAATATTCTTGGCGTGGTTTCTGTGCACACTGTATGGAAAGAACAGTTCACTTAAGATTAATATCAGGTTGAGCAGGTCAGTGTTAAGCCTCTGAGCTTTAGATTTTTCAATTTTCTCCTGTTGATTAAATATTTCCAGCTGAGATAACACGGAAATGTACGCACAAAATTATTTTTAAAAGATCCTTTAGAGTTTTGTCTATCTACAACTAGCTAGCTTTCTCTCTGCTTATTATATTATCATATTTAGCAGAATTTTTGGGTTTTCAGATTATCTACAAAGTTTAAAGGAATGTTTGATATTGTGCACAAATTCACTTTCTTCTTTCGACTTAGATTAAAATATTTTTACCACTCATGTCTGAAGGTAAATATAAAGCTTAAAAACTAGAAACAGGGGGAAACAGCTGGCCTGGCTCTGTCCAAAAGTAGCAAAAGCCACCTACCAGCATCTCTAAAGTAATTAACATGTCAGATATAATTTCTTTAATTTAAATGTGTTAAAGTGTTAAACCAACATGCAAAAGTTGGCAGTAGCTTCATATTTAGCGTACTGAGACAGGAGTTGTACCAATCTTCTCATCTAACTCTCAGCAAGAAAAAAAAATCTTAATTCCCAATGTCAAATTATTTTAAAAAATATATTTATTTCATAACTAGATAGAAACATAGGCACTGTCAGAAACTTTCATAATCATTCAGAAATTTTAATATGCATGCAATAGAGTATTACAAAACACGATTCTCACATTACAATCAAATATGATTTTTGTCAATCTGATTTAAATGCTGAACCAGAAAAGATTATACTGTAAATGCTTTTGATAGCATTTAACACATTGTGTAGCAAGTGTATCTGATTGACAGGAGCTAGCCTAGCCAGCTAAGTTGCTAAAGTTCTTAGCTGATGATACACAGAGCAACTTTTAGAGCAATGGTGCTGGGCAATGTTAGCGTCAGTGGTAATGAGTAAAGATTACTACTGTAATCCCCTTCCCCCCCGCTCCGCCACCCGCCCTGCCGCTATCTGTTCAAAACATAGTCGGACTTGCCACCAGCAACATTGCCCAGCAACACTGCTCAAATTGCACCGTGTATCATCAGCTTTAGCCAATCCTGCCATGCTTGCACCACATGACTCACTTATGTCTAATAGACAGTGCTGCTTTCCTTCTCTTCTTCCTGGTGTATTGTGCTTTTGCTCTCTCAATAGATAACTGAATTGGACTCATGGTGACAATTGCTGAGGTGGTCATGCGGGGCTTCTCAGACCTCTGTAGATTGAGCTCTTCAGTAGAGGCAACTATGGATGGCGTGGTTATAAATGTCATTGGTGATTGTTTGGTCTTAGGGATAGAAACTCCAACACTGAGAGCCGCAGGCAAGGCTTCCTTTCTTGGTTTTCTGATTGTCTGCCTGTATTGTTTCGTAATGATAGAAGGGGCTGCTGTGATAGTGGTCAAAAGCCTCCATTCACTGTGGGTATCTGTTTCTTCTGTAGGCCTGCTAATTGCAGCCGTGGATGCAGGGCTGCTTAAAGCATCAATCGTCTCTGGAGTTGGAAGAACAGGAAGCACATTTTCAGAGCTGTAATGAAAAAGAGGATTTTCGTTTGAAAGAGGCGAGACTGTCTTCCTCCTCCTGCTTCTCAGTCCTCTCTCTTTTGACTTTTGCCTTTTCAAAACGCTAAAGGAGGAGTTTTGAGCCTTAACTTGGACGGCCATCTTCCCTCCATAAATGTCCAGCCTGTGTGAAACCTGCTGCTGTGTGGTGGGCACCGATGGTACGGTGGGAGCCCCAGTGAGAGGGATCACTTTCAGATTGTCCACTGAGGAATTTTCATGGGCAGCAGTCACAATGGGAGAATCTGAGCTGACTTTCCTCCTTTTTTTCCTCTCCTTTCTGTCTCCTCTCTCCTTTGACCTGTTCCTTTTGACTTTGGTGATTACAATGGGGGTCCTGGCAGAGATGAAGACAGGTCGCTTTTCAGTGTTGCTCCCAAAGCTTTGTTGCTCTGGCTTTGCCACTGGGGTTGTGGTAATGATGGTGGGGACAGAAATGGCACTTAAGTTGTCTGTTGTACTCATTAAAAGTCCTTCAGAAGAAGGAAGAGGAATTTTCTTGCTCTTCTTTCTCCCTTTTCTTAGCCTTCTGGTGTTTGCTTTCTGTGGAACAGTTGCCACTGTTGATGGCGTAGAAAGGGTGATTTCTTCTGTGGTCATCTTATCTCTGTCCGACTCTGCCGGTATCTTCTGGATTATCGTAGATGATGTAATGGAAACAGTCTCCTTATCCATCGCTGGTTCATCTTTCATGACTTCATTGGAGGACTCTTCTTTTACCCGGAGCACATGTTCACTGTCACTGACTCTGTTTGCGTTTCTACTTGACTGGTCATGTGTGCGTGCCTCACAGATGAAGTTACTTAAAGCAATGGCTTCTTCTGCTTTGCAGCCAGATGTTGAAACAACTGCTCCTTCCTCTATTTTAACAGCCTCTGCTTTCTGCTTTCTCTTCCTCCCCTTTCCCTTTCCTTTTCCTTTCTGCTTTTTGGTGGTTTTCTTCTTCTTCCCTGTGTTCTTCCTCTTCTTCTTCTCTGAGCTTTGCGACTCCCCTTTATCAGAGTCGGTGGTGGAGCTTTGAGAGGTGGAGACAGTAGCAAGGACCTTGATGAAGTCCTCAGCAGCAGTGACAACGTTTCTGAGGGAAGGCTCTTCAGGGCCTGACATTGGAGACTGTGCTGTACTCTCTGTTTTTTCTTCCTCGCTTTTCTTGGACTCCTTCTTGGGAGGAGCCACTGTCAGCTCATCAATGACATCAATACCGCCAAAGTCATACGGGACCGCCTCTTTCAGCACAGCAACGGGCAGCTTCTCATATCGTTTACACCTACGAGAGAGTGAACGAAGGAGGTGTTGTGTGAGGTGATTTCACAAAGTAATACAACTCAGTATGTTGCAAATCTACTTAAAAGCTTAACACCGGAATCCACTGATACTTACATGCCATACCAGTGCCGCTCTGCACATTGTTCTTCATAGGCAAACTCAAAGCAAGGCACACCGATGACATTGAAGAAAGCCTGACCAACTACCCTGGAAGATGTGTCATTGACTTTCCTCAGACAATCTTTCAACCTGCAGAGAGTGACAAATAGATTTGTTTCAAGTCGTCTCTTTCAGAAATTATTTAAATGCAAAAAGGACATACATATTTGACTCTTTTCTTCGATTCAACTCCTGCAGATATTCCCCGCTTTCTAAATTCCAAAACTTTGTGTAAAGTTATCAAAAAAGTTTGCATTAACCAACAAACTAAATTTTTAGGTGTCATGTACACTTCTTACTTTATTAGTGTTCTTTGGTGTCACGGTCTAATCAACAGCAATTCATTTGTTTGTTGGTCCTCCTGAAACTTTCTGACATTATTTTGTCTCTAAAGCCACCTGCCTTCAATTTTCTCAAAAGCTAAAGTTTCCTGCCATAGAACCTGTAGATTAAAACAAATGTGACTGGTAACATTTGTCAAAATGACTTAAAAGCTAAAACCTAATAAGCTGTAACAGCTGCAAATCACTAAATTTATTGTAACAAGTTATGTAGTCTTTGTATGCATTTTTTAATTGTAATACATTTATTATAGTTTTAAAATTTAAAAGTTGATGCAAAATATGACCTAACTTTTAAGAGTTCCAGGAAGTTTGTCAGAACTTAACAGCGGTTTACTGAACTTAAAGTCTGAAGTTTAATGTATTAGTTTTTACAACTTTTGATATCTGAAATTCATTCCCATACAGTTATTTGTGTTGATTGTGCTTTTAACACACCATATTGGATGATTCTTTAAAAGATAGATGCACAAATAGATGCATAATTTTTATGAAAATATGTCATATATAGTTTCATTGTTCCACATGCTGTCACATTCATGCATCATTTGCATTACCAACCAGTATCCTTAACACAGATGTAATTGGGCATATGCTTGAAAAACTGGTCCAATTTACAGTTAATTAAACTGTATGCAAGCAGAAACCATTTTTGTCGTAAGACTTGTAGTGAAAATGCATCAACAATCAACAAAAGTATTTTTGGTACTCACGCAGTATCACAGTCACAATGGCAGATGGAGTGCCACTTGAAATTAGTGTGGCCATACTTTGAGGAGAAGGCGTGGATGACATGAGGGCAGTGGTCATGAATACGGCAGCAGCTGTCGGTCTGTGCAAACTCTCCTGCAACAATCAGAATTATTAAACCGGTGGATCTTTGACACACACTCACACAAGGCGCACATTTAACTTAATTTGCTTACTGGAATCTAACCTACCGAGCTGGTCATAATGATCAGCCATGTTTCCAGCTCCACACCACAGGGTCCCAGGATAAGTAAAGCCTCTCTTGGATCTTTTTAAAACCTTTTCTTTCATCGCGGGGTCATCGCTGCGACGCTTCACCCTGCCTCTGCGTTCCGACCGTTCTTTAAAATCCCGGCACATCAGTTTAGCTTCATCCATGCGTGCAAAACGCGTCTCCAGTTGCCGCCCGGCTCTCTGCCTTGTCAGTCCCAACCTGCACTCGTGCATGAACGATTTCACCAGCATCTGGTTCACAACGACAGAGCAGGTCACAAGCTTCCCGGCGGGACTGACAACGGAGCGCACCGCCTCGGCTCCGTCTGACACCTGGTAGAGGAAATTCTCCCTGACGGTTGACATTTTTGCGCAAAAGGTGCCATTGAGCATGGAGAACATTTCTTTGCTCTCCTTCTCTGCGTCCAAAGCGCGGCTCAGGAAGTCGCCCTTGACGAAGTTTCTGTCCAGATAAGACAGAAAGACAAAGAAGACCGACCACATGATGCGGCGAGTGGCACTTTCAGCACCTCGCGTAACGGAGACAGCTCCTAGCGTTTTTAGGCGCTCTCGAGCAGCCCTCCCACTTTTAAGGAGAAGCTCAAGTGGTGTGATTATTAATACGATAAATGGCAACGCTGGGAGGAGTCAGCCGAATTAACCTCTTTAGATTTCCAGCCCGGGTAGGGTATCTTTGTCCTACATAATCACAGACCAGAGAGTAGATATTAGGCTACCCACCAGTACTTCACTGAATTAAAACATGTAGACGGAGAGAGAGGGTTAATCTGTGGGTGTGTGGAGCGCGAACCTCCAGCATCTTTCGCTGCAGAGAGAGATGACCGCAGGTTACCTCTCAACCCCCCTCAGCCCAGCCCCCCAAAAGTGGAGATTTACTTTGGGAACACGCAAGGAGGAGGTTCTAGCTCACCCCACTCCCCATGGTAACAAGCATGGGGTGATTGTGCCAACCCAGGAGATTGGACATCTTTCAAATGCTACAAAACAAGCACTGAATTGGCGATGACCTAAATCACAATGTAGGGACAAAACTCTTTCATTGTGGAATGTGGAGAAAGGTTGGTGCTGTCACAGGCAAACCCCACTGACTGAAGGACAGACCACAAGACTGAGGCTGAACTGATGGTTGTATTCAGACAAAACTCCTTAAAATAATGGAGTGATCAATTGACTGTGTGGCATGGAGGGCTACCTATCAGCAGAATTAGTCCAAAATTAGTGCTTCATATTGCCTCCAAAACTACGATTTCTTTATTGGATTACATCATGTTAAAATGTGTTGGCCATTAAATATTTGCTTCTGTTATCAAAGTGGTCAAAACCAAATTCTCTGTCAGTCAAATATCTCCAAATATGATTATGTTGACCTTATAATGGGAAGAAACATTTATTCATATTAAATAAAAATGACACTGAATCACCCAGTAACTCTGCCACCTTTTTACTGCCTACCACTATATATTCATCATTCTCTATTTCAGAGCTGCTCATACTGTTCATATTCTATATTGTATATACTGGAAACCAATCCACCTTCCTCATGTACATAACACCACACATAGTCCTTATTTATTCCAGCGCTCTTTGCACTCATCACACTGTGTACATGTATGCTTGTATGTGTATGTGCACCTGTATATCACATCTACCTCCAATATGTACATAATAATAACAATAATGGTAATAATAATTTTTCTCCCACATTCTTTTCACTCTGCTCATTGCACTATTGTCTTAATCTGCCTGTTTTTGTTCATAGTGTGTATATATGTGACTCACTAAGACTAAGACTCACTAATTATTATTTTTTCTGATGTCTCCACTTTATATAGCACTTGTTTCGTTAGTGACTTGTAGACATGAAATTATTCTTTTTATTTGCTGACTAATTAATTCAATGTTTACAAAACTGCAGAGTTGCTGCTGATCAATTGCAATGCATTGTCCTCTGCATCTGTGAACAAGTGGCCATTCCCAAAGAAAAGAAAAACCTCTTGTCAGGTTGGGTTCTCTAATCAGCCCAGTGTTTTGTCACATGGTTGGTCTTACAGGGAGCTCTAGAGGTGGAGATCCAGCCTACTCAAGGCACTGAAATCGGATTGTTGGAAGGCGGAGAGAAATGATGTAAAATCACCAGAGGCAACATCCGACCAAATCTTGAGGGAGGGCAAAGAAAAAAAAGAAAAGTTTCTCATGAATTAAAGTGGTCTCTGCAGGAAGGATTTAGGGCGAAATGAGGAAAATAATCCTGCTGTTCACCAGGAAAGAGTTGGAGTCGACTAACACCGCACAGTGAAACAGATAGGTGACACTTAATGAAATATGTATTGTATTTATTCCTGCTGAGTAAGGCTCCTTTCATTTGCTCCATTGTGCATTTCATCCACAGAGAGGCCAGCTGCAGAACAGCGTCCCCCGAATGACTTGAGGAGTCAGTGTCTGACTCAAGGACACCTTTCTGTGAGTTCGGTGCATCATGCTGATGAGCCTGCAGAGTTTACAGATGCAGGATGATTCTTGCAACGTTAATAGGGAGTGCAGTTACCTCATCGGTATAAATGATGGTAATATGTATGAAAAGTGCTACAAGTACGTATACTGAACATGCATGAAGAACTAAAATGCATTCCTTTATTGAAACACGCCCAAATTCATTGAAGTCCAATGAGTGTGTTAAAGGTTCTGTCTACTCACATTATAGGGATATTTTCCTTCTCCTCTCACTTTAGTTGGATCTACTTCTGCAGATAGTTGGTTGCATCTTTTGGCAACCACCCAATATAATAGGGGTGGTAAGAAAGGGGTTTCGTTTGTGGTGATCACTGCATTAAACTTTTGAAAAACTCAACAGTGATCCGTCTACAGTGTCCCAGTGCCATAATCGGCATGTTGTTGCTAAAACTGCATCTTAAAACTCTCTTTCTTCATCTTTTTTGTGTTTTGGGTGAATGAATGTGTGACATGTAAGTTAGTGAAGAAACCACAGAGAATTGTTACCTTACTCTTCAGTTCAACTCAGAGCTTAATAGCATCCTTCAGCTCATTATTTTGGTTTAACGTCCCACAACTTTACTTAATTGATTTAATCTCTTTGCTCTTATCTGTTTGTTTTTTGGCATCAGTGGGTGGCTTGTAGGCAAAAAAAAAGCTCCTAAAAACCCACTTGAACCCAACCTTCCCAGCACCGAACGGCAGACAGACAATGTTAGCAGCTAGCTGGTGTGGACATTCTGGAGCATTTAGCACCTAAATCAGAGATAAAGGAGAATGAATATTGGACTTGCGTTTGCCCAGGTGGACAAAAATGACTCCCAGTGAATGCTAATGTTGCTCTATATCTGCTGGATGTGTAAATGAGCAACTGTTTACTAATAAGTTAACAATATCACTTGAAAGGTGATGATTATCTATGTCAGTGTTGTGTTTACAGCCTGCCCCCAAGTGGCCAAAACATTTGTTATTTTAGGTTTAAGCATTTCTCTATAAGATTTTCCACGACTATACACATTAAAACCTTCAAATCACCATGAGATAATACAGCACTATCTGCTCAGATTTATAACCTTGTGAATCTTGTAAGTGTGCAAAAAACATGCAAACGTGGAAACAAAAGCATTTGAGCAGTTACATTCACTGTAAGTTCATTTGGTTTGAGATACACCTAAGACAAAACTGTGGGAAAGTACAGTTATGTTAGCAGAAAGGTGAACACTCAGCTTGAACTCTGTTGAACAAAACTAGGATGATATTTCAGATCTGTTGATTTAATAACTGTAATAACATTTCCAGTCTGAGAACAGGGAACAAGATCTCCACCTGAGCTTATTTAGACACAGGTCCTCTGGCGATTCTAAACACCTGAAGACCGCCGCTCTGAGCAGGATTTAGAATAACAACCTGAGGCAATATAATTTTTAAAGGATCATCAGCCACAGTTTCTCCAGTCCAGTGACCACCTACAAAAAATAACAAATTCTTTAATATCTGTGTTTCATCACTTGAGAGTTTTTTAGGAGGGTAGTAATATGTAAAGTATACTTTCAACGAAAATCAATCGTATTTTATTTATTATTATTATTATTTTATTTTATTATTTTATTCGTCTCATTTTTATAACCAATTTTCATAAAATTAGTAAAAGTCATGACGGTTCAGTGTGTAAGTTTTAGTGGCATCTAGTGGTGAGTGTTGCGAATTGCAACCAGCAGCTTACTGTGCATTCATGTGCTCCTCGGATGGTCCCATTTCCTGAGTTCATGTGTTCATGCACTCTTAAGTCGGAATGTAGAATCAACATGGATGCTACTACAAAGATGTGTTACATTAGCATTATCAGAGCATATAAATAACATGCAGACATGTAGTTCACTCTACATGGGCAGCAAATTAACCATTACAACCATATTACACATTGTGTGTGTGTGTGGCGCATGCGCCGATCGCCACAATAGGCTTCACGGGTCTTTCTGTTGTGCATTTTTCCAGACCCCAAAAGCGGCGGATGGCCAGACGATTTCATCCACCATCACCACGTTAACCACGGGTGCTATTTTCGTTCTCTGTGTGACACTAAAGTTTTTGTAGTGTCGTCAGCTTCTGTCAAGCTTAAGCCCATTGTACAACAAGTCAAGGTACAAAAATTACAGCGTCATGTGCTAAATTGATGCTTCATCTGCAGATTGGTTGACTCTTGGGTGTCATGTGACCAGAGTGTTATGGCAGCCTTTGCAATTACAAAATCTCTTATAAATGTAATTAATCGTTCAGCCCTAATTCTGATTATTCATTATATCAGTCACTGCTCACCCCTCCCATTTCAAGCGTGCAGAAGAAGCTACGGTGGCTGACTCTGTCGGCTCTTGTGCTAAATAATATGCGTGGGCCTCCATTTGTCCAAATAATCTCTTCTGATTCAATGTAGTGAGGAAACGTGCTCTGTAGAGCAGTTTGTCCATTTGGGCTACTGTAGAAACATGGCAGCGTACCATGGAGACTTCCATGTAAGAGGACCCACGGTGTATGTAGATAGAAATGGCACATTCTATGCATATTTCATAATATTGTAGATCATAGGTTCCCAAACTTTCTGTAAGAACAATGCTGTGTGTGTTTTTTAAGATGCTAAAGGGTCTTTGTGACCCCAAACAGAACATCAGGGTCAAGATGTTGACAACTAACAGATTCCTATGTGAGGACTAGTTTAAAAGGGTAATTGTGATTTCAGTAAAAAGACATTCCACATATGAGCTGTAGCTGTGTCTTAATGTAATAGCCTAAAAATATATCCTCATTTAGCTTGCTAATCAATGTTATCTGTTAAAACCACGTTCAAAAACAAGTTAGGCCATTACACAGTTTTTCATTGAGTGTTCTCTTTGACATGTATTATCATAAAACAATAATGTCAGTTTTGATAATTATCTACTCTTTAAGTCTCTGTAAAATTATATTCGTACACTGTAGTTAAATGAACGGAAAGTAATGGCTGCCTGAAATGCAAGAAACATGCATTAAAGCAATTAAAACACTTTGGTGTGCCTTAGACAATAGTCTGCAGTGATGTAAATTGTGCAGGATTTGTAGAAGATCAAACAACACATTGGTATGATTAATTAATGGCAAAACTACCTCAAAGCAAGGAGGTCGATGCAAGAAACAGCAATGAAAAAAACGATAAAACATCTGTAAACTTATCTCATTTGCAGCAAATTTATTATCTGAGCTATCAGTCACAAAGGTCATTGAGCACAGTTGGCGAGACAGAGATTGGTCATCAAATCATTAGTCGACTTGATTTTGAATAAGAAAAAACACTGCACTGACTGCAGGGACATAAGTAACTAACTTTAGTGTTGTAAATAGCCCGCTCCCACCCACCATTCGCCCCACTGGAACCTGATATGGGCGACTCTCTGTCTCATTCACAGTCCAGTCACCCCAGTTTCTCAGCGCAGACAAGTGGTGTTTTTCAAATGGATGTGTTGGCCATTCCTGCAGACAGGCATAAAGGATGGTACCTTTCTCTGATGGCACCCAACACAAAAGGACCGAAGTTTGCCTGGCTGGACCCGTCCAGACTCTACTGCAACTCCAAGGTATGACGGTAAAGAAGGAATGATTTCTAGTTACCCAGCAGTTTGTTGAGCTGTTGATACTGTCTACTGTCTTCCCTATCACTGAAAAAAACTCATTTAAAACTGTAAAGCTATAAAGCTGTGTGTGTATTTTACATGCACACTTTGCATTTTGTGCATTTACTGTCTTTGCACTTGAATTAAGGCTCTTGCAGATTGTGTCAAAGACCTTCTCATTCCATTTCACAACGACACCATTGACCTGGTAGCCGGGATAGATGCAATGGGATTCATTCTTGGTAAGAAAACAAACCAAATCAATTTATGAAGTGAAGTAAATGGTAGGTTAAGAGCAATCACACTTGGTGTCTCACACTCATTTTATTTTAAGAAACAGTTGTGTGCTCTTACGTACAGTCAGGAGGACCCCCCAGGCACAGATTCTAAATTTAGATATTTTGGCACTTCTGAATCCTGCCTCATAGCATGACAGCGTGTGGAAGCATACTTCATCTGATTCAAACTAAGGGTTAGCCTCAAAAGGGAATCATTTTTGATTCTGTCAGCGTGGATGCATGTTTATGATGTGTTTTTTCAGGGGCTTCTGTTGCCACCACCCTCGGAAAAGGTTTTCTGGCTGTCCGCAAAGCAGGACACCTGTGTGTCGCAACCCAAACCCAAAACTACACTGACTATACGGGAAGAGACAAGACTTTGGAAGTAAGGCTGGATGTGCTAAACCCAGGTTAATCTTCCTTTGTTTTTTAACCTTTAACCATGTCACTTATCTCTGTTGAGAAGATGAATGTTTTCCCAGCTGGCAACCTCAGAGTTTTGAGAGCTACAGCCTCAAATATGAAAAAGAACACATTTTGTGAGTGCTGACAATGATATCAATAGGTTTAGATTTATGTTTTTGTAAGTATTTAGTCTTTTATTGGGATAATTTCAATGCAAAATGCTATACATGGGTTGTGTGATTATTTAGATCATCATCTGGCACCAAACCACTATATTGAAAGCTTCAATGCACAGCTGTTTTTATATGTAAAATTCAAATAATTTAAACATAAATTGAAGATTTGAGGATGACTTTGACCAGACTATAGCATACTCATTTCTTATGTATTCATAAATAACAATTAATCAATGTTTTTTCATAATTAATTAATCTGTTCATTATTTGGTCGATTAATCGTATAGCCTAAAAAAGTCAATTCACAACGTCTTTAATAATTTTCCACACACCAAAGTGATCAATTCAAATTGCTATTTTATTCAACCAACAGTCCAAAACCCAAAGATTACTACCTGAAACCATGGAAATTATTGCCAGTTCTGACAATCAACTAATAGACTAATTGTTGCAGCTCTAAAATTGTCCTAATCTTGAACACAATAAAACAGTTTAAACCACAGGTTTCTTTATGTACTTCATGTCCATTCCTGTGGCACCCTCTAGTGTTAACGTGTGAATTAAAGATACAGAACATTTTGCTCTATGATTATGATACATATCTTTGACATCATTTGGAATTTGGAGTTAGATTCTCTTTTAATCATCTTTAATACACCAAAGATCATCTCTTGTACAAACACAAAAATATTCCATTGCTGTCTTTTTTTTCCTGCCAAAAAATACTGGCTAGGACTTCGAAAGACTATTGTTAGAGATTTATTTATTCATTTTTCATGACCGGGTCAGATTTCAGGATTTGATATTTTGTTTTTGGAGCAGAAACAGATGTTGATTTAATTTAGATTTACAGGTTTTTTGTGCATATTTACATTTATACATGTATACACCATATTATGTTATGTAACACTACATTTTTTGTGTTGTTTGCTTTGTATTGTACTAGATGGAGTATAATAAATTACACTTTCCTTTTCAGAAAGATTGTAATTATATTTTTCTTAATTCTGAGAGAAAGAATTTTTGCTATTCTCCCTCTCTTTGTGTCCTCTTTATAAAAAATATGTAGTGTATTCATTGTCTTTTGACTTTGTTTACAATGTGAACACTTCAATAAAGAATTGTTTTTAAGATTCTGTGGATCTAAGTAACTTGACTCCTTCCTGCAGGTGTGAGGGTGCTGTTAGTGGACCAATGGATAGAGACTGGTGGCACCATGAAGGCAGCAATCCAACTGGTGGAGAGGCTGGGTGGCACTGTTGTAGGTCAGTCAAGATGGTCAGAGTAATTGATCCTAATCATTTTAATGCAAATATCACACTTTGTTTCCTGCAGGTGTGGCAGCCATGGCCATCGAGAACACTGAGGGAGGAAAGTGGATTAAAGAAAATTACAAATACTCTCACTGCATCCACGAAGAGCTCCAGAGCCAAATTGATCGAAAGTGTCTTGAATCCTTCAAAAACTTCATCAACTGAACAACAAAACATTTTTATTACCTCTGTAAAGAAGAAAAGGGGAATAGTGATATTTTCTAAGACGGAGATGGTGAGGAAATCTGATCTGCATAGACATTGTATTTTTTAAGAGAGTGAAATCTCTGTTTAATATGACATCTTTTCAACTAACACAAGCTGTACTGTGAGTTCAACTAAATAATTTTCTTAAAATAAATGTTTCTTATTTTCAAATCACTGAAAGGTCTTTTGTCCTCTTTTTTAATGTTTATTTTATTATATTTAAAAACATACCATGAGAAATTCTCAAGAAAATAAATGATAAAATATTCACACTCACAATTTCAGTTTAATCCAAATTCAGTCATTATACTGTAAACAAAAAGCAAAAAGCATGTATGTAAAGTATGAAGCATACGCTGCAGATAAAAAACATCCAAGACTGCATCTAAAACAATGGTTCCCAACATGGAGGTCAGGACCCCCACAAGGGGTCACAAGGTATATCTGAGGGGTTTTGAGAAGATTAACTAGATAGGAAAGCAGAAAAAAAATAAACATTCCTGCTACACAAAACTCTGTTTATTTTTTTCAGACTTTCCTCAAATCTTTGCTTTTTTTCTTATAATCTTACTTCTTACAGAAAGTTTAGGAACCTCTGATCTACAAAATTATGAAAAGAGATCAAGTACCAAGTAAAATTTTAATACAGACTTAAAAGATAAACCCAAGTATTATTGTGAAGAAAAATCTTAATTGTTAAACAAACTACAGCAGAGAAAATGAATATTAATTTCAAGACTTAAGTAAAGTAAGCATTCACCATGCACCATGTTAAAAACATCCATTCTTTGGCATCTCTGCAGTACCAGTTTATTTTTGTAATTGCTGTGTCACTCTCACTCCAGACAAGTTAAACTGAGCAACACCACAAGAATCCACATCCCACAGAGGAAAGGAAAAACTGAACTCAAATATGTCAGGAAGTAAAACTCCAGCGTCCCTCCTCCTACTTCAACCATAGAAATCCCTCCCATGAGCTGGAGAGCAGCCACAGTCTTTCCACTGAGAAAAAAAAATTCCTCATTTCATTCATTCTGCTCCTTTGACTTTAAAATCCTCCCTCCATTCTTACTGACAGCAGTTCGGCTGTTTCTTCTTTGAAGCAGCGTACAGATTGTTTGAAGTGCTGTTAATTCCTGAAACAAATGATCAGCTGGGTGTTAAACTATGGGACAAATGTGATGGTTTTCGTGATTACAGCGAGACTTTGGTTTGGATACTCACTGACAACGTCCCCAATTTGCCTCGATCCACTTTTCTCCAACTCTGCGAGAACGTTGGTCTCAAATGCCAATGATGCAACTCGAAAGAAAAAGTTGTTCACGTTTTCCCCTACAGCATGGAAAAGATGTAGACCAGTAAGGAACTGTGTGAAAATTACTGGAATTGGGAGGAGGGCTGAAACTTGGATTTGTTTTGAACCTCCTTTACTGCCAAACCCTCCTCCATAATGTCTCAACTGATTGCGAAGGATGAAGAGCAGAAGTGTTTTTTCTACATTCTGTATTCCCACTTAAATTTTTTGAAAATCCTCAATGTTGCTTAACATAGAACAGAACATATTACGTTCAATGATTTCCACCGTTTCTGAGAAAACATGTTTTATCCATCATTTTAGCCGCGGAGAAGAATCTAGTCCGAGCTGTACATCAGATGCTTTGTTGTTGCAGTTAAGAAAACACTGCAATTTTTAGCTCCGACCCCAGCTAGTTAACTTCTCCCCCCAAAGTTTTGATGTACACAAGCTCGAACCTTCTACCTTTTAATCAAAGAACCAAATATTTTTAACGCAGTTGTTACTATTATTATTTTGGGTCGATGATCTAAACAGGAGAGTTTCATGCTGATCTCCAACTGTGAGTGGTACAAACTGTGGTACAAACGAACGGGACTTTCAGGAACCTGGGGACCTCTGTATGATACATGTAACTTTACATAGTTCTGTTTCTCTTCTGCAAAATAAAGTGAGGGCAATTGTTGGCTAGTGAAACAAATAGCATGCTCTTTTGAGGGAAAATTTTCAATCTCTACTAAGTATATAGATCCATGTTCTCCATAACTGACACATTGATTCTACTAGTAAATAAAAAATAAAGCCTTATTACAGAGACAGGATTGTTACCATCTGCATATGGAAAATGCACCTTTATGATCAATGGTGCACATAAAAGGAATCTTTTTGATGTAACTATTCAGTTGTTTTGTTTTTTTTACAGTAAATCTCACAACAACAAAAAAAAAAATCAGACTACCCTCCCTTCAGCAAAAAGAATTTACCTCCCCCAATAGTTTGCAAACAGTCCCTAAGTCTGTGGTGAGGTTATCACCACTGTTAATTTCACTGTATTTAAATCCAGACACTCACCTGTCAGTGACGACACAGCCCAATACTCTGCTCTGATCTCTTGTGCTAGTTTGAGGGCATCTTGTTCGATCAGAGAATACTGAGCTGGAGACTGTCCGAGAAACCAGGAGAGACCAAGTTAGATATAATTCAGTTAAACACAAAAGGAATCTTTATACTAAATCTGCAACTATTGTTTTCATTATCGATTATCTGACAATTATTTTCTTGCTTATTTGATAAATCGATAAAAGGGTAGAATAGTGTATAACACAGCAGCTAGGACTGTAACCAGACTATTGTAACTAAAACTGGAATAATTAGTCAACTAATCAATTTGATAACTAAGCTAATCTTTTAGTCATTTTAAAGCAAAAATGCCAAACATGTCCTGGTTCCAACTTCTCCAATGTGAGGATTTGCTGCTTTTCTCTGTTTTATATCTCTGGAAATGTAATATCTTTAGGCTTTGGACTGCTGATCAGACAAAACAAGACATATGATGATGTCACTTTGGGCTCTGGGAAATTATGAAATTGAAAAAGCACAACAAAGTAAAAAAAGAGATATTCATTTCAGATAATTCAAGAAGCATAACAAACTTCATGAAATAGAAAGGTATGCCTATTATTTCCACCTCTATCAGAAATGTTTTGGGAGTCTAGTGAAGGATGGAGAAACTACATTCCTGAGGCTTGAGCCAGCACACAAACGCTTTGTGCTGCTGGCAGCGATCCAAACAATTGACTCCAGTAAAAGACACAGAAATGTCCACAGGCATGTCCACATCAAACAGTTTAAAGACGTACGCTCAGGTCTTTCTTTGTGCCAACGAGGAACAGCTGAACACTGGTGGGGTCATTCTCTTTCAAGGCGTCTTCGAGCCACTGCCTACAGACAGAAAAAGGCAAGTTTAAATCCTCCAGCTGGAACCAAAACTGTAAGAGTACAAATAATCTACATGTAACAAATAAGCTCACCTCACATGGCCCAAAGAAGCAACATCATTTACATCAAATACGATAATCACAACTGGAAGAAAAGAAGATATTTCATCAACGAAAACACTTCAGAGTGTTGCTTCAACATGTCAGCAACTGAATGCAGCTGTGACACACCAGTAATACAAACACAGCTTCTTGCCTGACATTATGTTAAACAATGTGTACATGGAAAGAGGAGAGTCTTTAGTTTATTTTTAGTTTGCCACAGTAAAGCACACAAATCTCTCACTTTGAGCTCCTCTGTAATATGTCGAAGCAATGCACTTGAACCTCTCCTGGCCTGCAGTGTCCCACCTGAGACATAGAGAGAGACAGGTGAGCGACATCACATCAGACAGACTCCGTTTACTGACTTTGTTTTATGCATAATACTGAAGACTTACAGCTGTAGGCTGAAAGGAACGCCCAGCACCTCAAAGCGCTCCATCTCAAAGTCAACTCCTATTGTTGCCTTGTAGTTTTTATCAAAAGCATCTTTGCAAAATCTGAAAACATAAAACTCATCTTCAGTCAGGAAATAGACAGGTCCAGGATTCTAACTGCTCGACAGTAATAACGTCAATGGACACCATTAAGGAAAACAGTAATTTTACCTCTCTGGTCTACCGCTGCATTGATCAGTTGGTTTGTTTGTGTTATTGTGTGACTTTGGTGTTTTTAACCGTTCAACACAATAACACAAACTAAAAAATGGGGTCCAAAATACTTAAGTTACCCTTTAAGTACAGTATTTTCTGTGTGTATTTAATGCAAAACCTGGATCCAGATGCAGATTTAACATTTCTACACGTTTTAACAATAAAATAACTTGTGCTTGGAGGCACATGTTTTCTCAGTTCTTCTTGTTTAGGTTATTTATTTCCCAGAGCTGCACCTCACCCTGCTTACCTATTAATCAGACAGGTTTTGCCCACAGCCAGGTCACCCACAACAATGACCTTAGCGATTTTAAATCTGCTGAGAAGAATAAAAGATGAAACAACAAGTTAATAAGTGCAACAAAAGCCCCACAGCCAGTCTCATCCAGCTTCTGGTTCCTGTGCTCACCCCACAGTGCCGGTGCGCTGCTCCTGGCAGGCGGTCTTCACTTTATTGTTGAAATCCTCCTTAGTGTGCAGAGCTGCCTCTTTCCTGAAATACTACAAGGTAGGAAGAAAAATTTGTGAGGGTGTACATTGTATTAGAGTGATGATGGACAACAAGGCTATTGTGATTTTACCTGAGGGAGCTTAGCGATGATGCGGTCCTTTCGAACAGGAGGAAGAACACTCATGGCTGAGACACGGACAGACATGAATCTTCGAGGTAAATGTTTATAAAAAAGGGACATGTGGTGAGAGAAAGAGAGCAGCATCAACAACCTGATATCTGAACTAGTTAATACGGTTTCTTCATAACATCCACACTGCAGTGAAGGATTTTTAGGCCCAATCATTAAAGGTAAAGGTACTTTACTGTCACATACACATACATGTTGCAAAATTCACTCTCTGTATTAACCAATCCCTCAAGGGAGCATTGGACAGCCGCTGAACATAGCCCAGGACCAACCTATAACAGGTCTGGTCAATGGCACTGAAGAACCTAACATGTTTCTGAAGGTGGAGGAAACCGGAGCGCCCGGAGGAAACCCAAGCAGACACAGGGAAAACATGCTAACTCCACATAGAAATGCCGGGACCTTCTTGCTGCGAGGCCACAGTGCTATCCACTGGACCACCATGCCGCCATTAGAACTGGTGCTTTGTTTTTTTCTTGTTACAGTCGGGGATCTGGTTTAGATTCTATAGTACTTAATGTTAGAGCTGAAACAATTAGTAAGTAAATCATTTATCGATTAAGATGTTGTCAAATTACTTGTTTTGGCCAACCAACATTCCAAAACCCCAAAGACTTTTAATTAACAAATTACAACTTTTAATTTACTTAACATATACATTTTATTTAAAATGTTGGTACTAAAGCTGAAACATCATTTATTTATTGATCCACAGAAGATGTATGACTGATTTGGTACCCATTGGTACCCATCTCCCGAGCATCAGTGATATCGGTGAGGTTGAGGTGCCTGAGCAGAGCCCAAAGGATACTAAAGGACAGTACCCACCCCAGCCACAGCATGTTTCCTGGTTTTCTTGGTCTCCTTTCATAGTAAACTGAATATCTTTGGGTTTTCAACTGTTGGTTGAACAGAAAAGATCATCTGATGACATTACCTTGGATTCTAGGAAACTGCAATCAGCATTTTTCACTATTTTCTCAAATTTTACAGATACAATCAACCTCAATAATGAAAATGATCATTAGTTACAGCTCTTTTCGGTTTTCATCGTTTTGTTTTGTCTCTTGTGGGACAATAAATATCTCATCTGAACTAAAGTGGATGTAAATCTCTGGACATTCATGACATGTATAAAAAGCTATGTTTATATTAAAAGATAATTAGAAAGAAATACCATAAAAGAGATTAATAATCACTGCCTTGTAATTAAAATGTTAGTCCCAAACAGCACAAAGAAACTGACTCACCACTTTTCAGTGAAACAAACTATTTGTTTTTATTAAATCAGGGATATATCAGCTCTGTTATCTTTGTCTCAAGTTATATGTGTTGTAATTTTCCAAGGCAACCAGATCACAGACTGTACCCTCAAAATACACAAACCTACCTCCTGTCAGTCACAGTGCCTAGAAGCTGCCTGGAAATAAAGAGAGAGCCAGGCAGAGACCCAAGTCAAACATTCGGCGGTACTCTAATGAGAGAAAACATTTGTTGTGTAGATACATGATCACATACAGCGCCAGACCAGACAAGATGTAATCAGTGTTGATCCACTTACAGTGTAGATCTGTTTTAATCCTATTGTTCATCAAATCTCCTGGCGAGGAAGAAGAAAAAGAAGAAGAAGAAGAAGAACTAACGTTAATTGACTGGATTTGGTTTGGTCACCCATAAAGTTGAAAGCAGGCACCCTTAAAGCTCAATCTTACATCCAAGCTCCATGTGAAGTACACGTTACGAAGAAGACCATTGCGAGTTACACATTCACGGCTAAATCAAACTTCTTTTTTAAACAGCATATTCAAGTTGCAAAAACTCAGTAGTCTAAAGATGTTACCTCAGCGAGACGGGATGGTCTGCACAGGTTTCCACTTCTCTCTTCTGCGTTGCGGCTTGTTTTTTCCGTCCACAGATGCTTCTTAATCTAATATCAACCCATTCAAGGTCTTAGTAAAGTATTAAAGTGTTTTGCGGTGAACAGAGCTGAAGCAGATCCACGGAAGTTGAGCTGGAGCAGCCAACTGGACGCGCTGCTGACTCAGTTCCCTAGAGGGTTTTCTTCTTCCCTCCCCCATTTTCTCTCTTTGGTCCCCTGCTGGAGGACATGAGGAATAAGCGGAAACTGGGAAAGACAGAAAAATCTATCTATCTATCTATCTATCTATCTATCTATCTATCTATCTCTGTCTGTCTGTCTGTCTGTCTATCTGAAATTGTAAAACAAATTCAACATTTATCTTGTATATTATATTATTTTGATTTTATTCTTATTTATTTATGCATACCTCTTTCTACTTCTCTATTACATCCTTTGTTTTTTACCGTCCTTTTTTTTAAAGCAAAACAGTAAAGGTAAGACTAAGAAAATAAGGTCATGTTAAGGAAAATATCAGTAGAGAGTCTGCAAAGATACTATATAACTTCTATATAACTTAATTTAATGCTAGTAATAATTTCACACCGGAGAAAAACAGATAACTTTTATTGTTTCCAGACCGTCAATTAAAAAGGTCGACTGTATAGAGAGCTCTAAGCCTCTTTTGTATGATAAATGGAGGCCTACTGTAAAATAATTAAATATTTATAAAAAGATACGAACAAAAGATGCATAACATTAAATACCAATATCACTAACACAATATCATTGATGTCTTTAGTGTTATTATTACATTAATATATAATAATTACTTACATGTATTAATATTATTTAATATTTGAGGTGACAAATAGTTGATTTTGTACAGACTGCACATGTTTTACTGCCAGGTTACTCTTGAGCATGGTGGAAACTAAGCAAATTACTACTGTAAGTAGTAGTAGTAGTAGTAGTAAGTAGTGTACTTAAGTAAAACTTTGAGTATTTTATGCTACAATCCTGTTTCCAAAAAGGTTGGCATGCTGTGTAAAATGTAAATAAGAATAAAATGTGATGGTGTGCAAAACCATATTTAATTGAAAATAGCACAAAGAAAACTTATCAAATGTGAAACTGAAAATGTTTTTGTTTTTTGAAAATGATATGCCCATTTTGAATTTGATGCCAGAAACATGATTTAAAAAATTTGGGACAGGGTCATAGTGTTGCATTTAACAACACTCGTCTGGGAACTGATGAATACTGCAATCTTTAAAGTGGAATGTTTCCCATTTCTTGCTTGATTTCAGGTGCTCAACAGTTTGGGGTCACCTTTGTCATACGTTTCATAAAGCGCCAAACAGTCGGGACTGCAGGCAGGCCAGTTTAGCACCTGAGCTCTTGTAATACGTGGAGAATGTGGTTTGGCATTGTCTCGCTGAAATTAGCAGGGCCTTCCCTGAAAAAGATGTCATCTCCTTGGCAGCATATGTTGCCCCAAAACCTGTTTATATTTTTCAGCATTACTAGTGCCTTCACAAATGTGCAGGTTACTCATGCTATGTGCACAACTGCACCCACATACCATCACAAATGCTAGCTTTTACACTGTGCACTTATAACAAGCCAGATGATTTCCAAACAGAATTTCAAATTTTGACTCATCATACCACAGGACAGTTTTCCACATCACCTCAGGTATAAGTTGTACTGTAATCTGTGGAGCCAGTGAGTTCTTGTAAGACACAACCTTGTAAGAGAACACTGAAAACACTTATGGGATCAGTTAAATTACTCTAAGCTGTCTTACCTTTCCCTGTGACATCAATTAAGACACCTAAGAATATTCTTGTCTGACTATAGCTTTACCATAAGTCTCTCAGGTGTGAATGTGACTACATGAAGGTAAAAAATAAATCAATACCTTCCCTCATCAATCGAGTACATATTGCAAAAACATACTTCAACAACCCTGTGATTTTAAATACTCTTTTAATTCATGATATCACTCAACCATCCAAAAACACAGCGCTCATAAAAAACAGTTGTCTCTTTAATAGAAGATACATTATTGTGGTTGTGGCCAAATGTATTTACTGTATGTTTCTCTCTACTTGGCCCAGCATTTACAAAGCATACAGACGTCATTCTGCACCATATCTACACTTTCTTATTCGGAGATTATATTTTTATGTGCTTTGTTCTATATTTTTGGAAAACGCACTGTGGTAAAGGCACTGTAACACAGGTCAGACACATCGGTCCATGTCTGTTTGGACTTTCTTGGCATTGGCCATTCTTGGCCATAGATAGAAAATGAAATGTGCTGATTATTAGGCTTGTAAATGGCACTGTCAGAACTTACAATTTATGGCATGACTAGGAAATAACCATTTGAAGTCCACTAATGGTGTTTATTTGTATTACCATTTAAGATGTATGAAAAAGGAATCCACATTTAAGGACATTATTTACACAATTCTATGTACATGTCCATTTATGAGTAGAGAGGAGGAACAGAAAACATATCTTCACCCAAAGGGCGTCTTTCAATTTTTTAAATATGGGATCACGAGGGACACACATTAGCCAAACTCTTCTATTACACTACATCTACAAGTCTAACTACAGGTGGTGCAATATCAGTACTGATTGTGCTGCTACCTGCTCATTATGAAGGATTTCTTATGGTGCCCATTTCCTGATGAGCTCAATTATCAGACTGTTAGAAGGCAGGAAGATCCAGCTTCGGCCCCACATGGTCAGTCTCTTCAGCCACAAATGGCATCATAGAGAGAGATCGTACTGTATACACATGTTATTAAAATGTGAGTCAGTGTCAAAAAATCACAGCTGGCAGGTTGTTCACACACCCTGGGAGGGGTCTATATAAAAACACTGCTTCCCATGCAAATGTTAAAGATAACATATAGCTAGGTTGTCAATAGTTACAGTATTAGCAACTGCAAAAAGCAATTTCACATTTCAAATGTATGTTAAACTATTTATAGACACAGGTTTTTGACAGACCTTTTTAGCTTTCTTGCAGAGATTTAGATGAGAAGATTAATACTTCTCTTGTATCTGTACACTAAAGCTGTATCCAGCAGCCGGCTAGCTTAGCCGAAGGACTGGAAAAAAGAGAAAACAGCTATAAGACAGAACCTTTCTTTATGCTAAGATAAGGCTGGCTGTAGCTTCATATTTAGTGAACAGATATGAGTAGCATCAATCAAGAAAGTGAAATAGCTTATTTACCCAAATATAAAATGATTCTCTTAAAGTTACATAATGTTGAAATTTCATCTAATAAAAATAATAGTTTGATATTTTGGCAAATACACTTCTGAGAGTTAGATGAAAAGATGGATACCACTCTCATGTCTGTGCGCTAAATATAAGGCTACAGCCAGCAGTCTGTTAGCGTAGCTAGCATAAATGTTATATATTGTTAGTTTAATTTATACAAAAATGTGTGTATAAAAAGAAGTTTAGTTTTATGAGAGGACTTTTTACTGTTGGACAGAGCCAGGCTAGGTGCTTCCCCCTGTTTCCAGTCTGTATGCTAATCTAAGCTAACTGGCTTTTAACTGTAGCTTCATGTAGGCTTTGCCATACAAACATGTGAGTGTCAATCTTCTCATCAAATTCTTACAATTAGCAACTAATTTCCCTATTCTAAGTTACATGATAACTTTTACATTGAAAATAATATTTGCAAAAAACTTTAATAAAATTCTCACTTAACCTGGAATTTTGGCTTCAATAAAAGTAGTGTTGCATTGTATTTTTCCCCATAAAAAGCCACATTTCTGACTTTCCAACACAAGTACCAGCACCTGAACAAGGCTGCACCTTGTTCCACCAAAAGTTGTTTTGTGGGGGGCGGGTGTGGGGTGGGGGTTGATCTTTGGCAGTGAGACACAACAAGGGAACCTGTCGTCACGAGGAATGGTTAGTTACATTTTGAATAAAACAAAATGTGTACACTCCCACCATCAATACCAACGTAGTATTATTCCGTTCCGCAGTTAATCACTGAGAAATTTTCTGGAGTTGTTATGTGTCCCGTTTTGTCCCACAGACTTCTTATTCCAGGAGAAGAAGTCAGCACGGAGCAGGCGGTAGAAATAGATCAGGATCATAATGTTCATCACCATTATGGAGATGAGAAAGCAACCACCGTGGTCCAGCCAGGAGTAATTGTGGACAATGTACCAGGTGAGGTAGAACTGGGTGATCAAACGAAACACGACGTAGGTGAACAGGTTGGCGTATTTGTTGATGTGGTACAAGGAGGAGGACTGAACGCCCGCCAGCTTCAGCATCAGTCTCAGGTGCAGAGTGACACTGTTGACCTCTACGAAGAGAGCTACCACAGCGCCGGCTACATACAGCTGAGTGTAGAGGGCGTACAGGAAACACCAGATCACCTTATAAGGAGACAGACACAAAGAGACAGAGGTGTTTGTACAGTTACACAACAGTGTGTTTGATGGTCTCATTGTTTTCATTTGTTTTTTCTTGCTTTTATTGTTTGACTTTTTCTGTTCCCTGTAAAGCACTTTGTAACATAGTTAAAAAAAAAAGCTATATTATATATATAATTTGGTTTGACAGTTCATTAAATGTACCATCATTAGTGTACCACCATGGGAACGTCACCACAGACACCAGATTTAAAAACTCTACTGCAAGTACAGAGAGATTTACCTGGCAGTGAGAGGCTTAATCAGTATTAATTGAATGTAACAGATGTTCATTTGTATGTAAAAGTCCCGCACTCATCTGAAAATACTTGATCTACAGTGTTTAAAAATTAAAATTACTTGATTGCTTCAATCCAAGTTAGGTGCTTATAATACATGTCATGCATTTAAGTCTTCTAATAACAAATTCCTATCATTGTGTCAAATTTAATGCCGTGTTTTCTCGCTCCACTGGTCTTTTACGAGTTAGAAACATTCTGTTTATATCTTATTGCTATAATCTAAAACTATATTTGGATTGGTTCTTCGAGCGTAACCTTTTTTTTGTTGTGTATTTTTTTGTTTAGGTATTTGTAGTCGTTTGTTTCTGAAATTGAGTTTATACATGGAAGCTCACTCTAAAATGTCTTGGTCATGATCCAGCTAACTATAAATATGCCTGCCCATTTTGTTCCGTCATGAGCTGCAGATACATTTAAAATCAACTTTGAAGAACTGAAGAAGCCCGACTTGTGTTAAATCATCTACAAACAAATCAAGCTAACTCCCTTATCCATGTATGAAGATCTGGGCCCGGGTCTTGACAATGTGGGGTGAAAAGAATTTCAGGTTAACACTTGATTTGAAGGGATGTGCATAAGACATGCCACCTTCATAACCATGACATGACACCTGTCATGAACGTGAAATTGTTAATTATATCATTTCGGTCACACTTTCTATGAAGGTCATCGCTATAATGACTTATACATATATTTATAACACGATATAATGCGTCCATAAGACATTATAACAGTTGTTATAATCACTTACAAACATGCATTAGGCGCTATAGCAAAGTTCATGATGTATTATGAACTTCTGATTTAATGTTTTATAACTAATAGTAATACCAGTTTATATCAATGTGGGTTAAGAATCTCCGACCATGTTCCATAACACATTGTAACCAACGACTCTGCCTTGTTATAAATACACTTTAGTCATCACTTAGAATTAGTGATATAAAATGGAATAATAGCTTATAGTAATGTTTAAAGTTATATAGCAGGTCTTTCTTTGCTTTAAGTAAAGTGTTAAAATATCTATCCCTGTATAATATATTACAGGTGGACATAATACCATATGAACTAATTATAAGACCTTATAACACGTAATTGTTTGCTTTAAGTAAAATGACACATTTTGCGCAGGAAAACAACTTTTATTTATTTTTCTTCACTTTATGAACAATCTGTATGAATTTTCAACATTTTGCAGTTTAGCACAAAAACACAACTTAATTACATCAAGGACACTCATTCTCAGAGTGGTGAAAGATCACTCAAGAGAACCATATAACATCATGTAAGAAGAGGCTCAGATGTTGTCACAGATGAATGGCGAGCCTGTGGACAGTGGACAATTAAAGACAACCACTTCACAAAACGTAGCATATGAAAAGACATTTTAAAGTTATTGAATGGGAATACTGTTTGGGCAGTAGGGATGAGAATCTCTTGGCACCTTAAGATTCGATTTGATTACAGTTCAGATTTTTTTTTTCTGTGTAATTTCTGGATCATTACTAAGCATTTCATTTGCACATTAAAATCCAAAAGAAATATCTCCTCAATTGCTTAAAAGGACTAGTTTACATCCCTGATTTACTTTAGTAGCCTCAGCTCCTCCGTGGTCACCAGCATCCTTCCTTTAACAACCAGTTGTCTGACTCCTCTGGACACTGAAATATAATTTAACTTAACTATCAGGATGTACAGTTTGTGTACAGGACACCAGTTTAGCTTCAACCTGCTGTTCTCATTCCTCAACAAGTTAGGTAGTAATGACACGCAACTAATTAACATTACTCCGTTACTAATTTTTTCCTCCACTAACTTTCACCGTCACGTTCTGCTGCTCGCTCTCGCACACACACTCTTTGCACACAGGAACCAAAACAGCGATGAGTGTTGCTGCAGGTGAAAATCAATGTCGCAGTCATATTGATGACCTTGTGAAATTTTAGTAACGTGGTCATTCGTTCAGCAGCAGCGAAATGCCTCGAACACAACACTGGTCTCAGACCAGTAACAGAGATCACGGGTCTCTGTTATGTGCACACCTGCGACTGTCCGGGCGCTGCACTTCCGCAGTTCCGCCATTTGCGTTCCGTGAACATTATAGTATAGTACAGTATAGTATAGTACAGTATAGTTTAGTACAGTACAGTATAGTATAGTATAGTATAGTATAGTACAGTATAGTTTACTTCTTTGCGATGCGGACGTGGAAGATTCTGAATTGATTATGAATGAGAGAGAGCGAGCAGCAGAACGTGACGGTGAAAGTTAGCGGAGGAAAATATTTAAGTTACTTCGTAAGTTGTCAGTCTGGCAGAACATGTGCAGTGTTAGGCTACGTTTGGTGAAGTGGTTGTCTTTAATTGTCCACTGTATCTGTTAGGGTCTGTCCATAGGCTCGCCATTCATCTGTGACAACATCTGAGCCTCTTCTTTCATGATGTTGGTCGGCAACTCTTGAGCGAGATCTCACCACCCTGACAATGATTTTTCTTGATGTAATTATGTTGTGTTTTTGTGCTAAACTGCAAAATGTTCAAAATGCATGATTGTTCATAAAATGAAGAAACATAAATAAAAGTTGTTTCCCTGCGCAAAATGTGTGTCTTATAAGGTCTTATAATTAGTTCATATGGTTTTATGTCCACCTGTAATATATTATACAGTGATAGACATTTTATCAGTTTACTTAAAGCAAACAAAGACATGCTATATAACTTTAAACATTACTATAAGCTATTATTCCATTTTATATCACTTATATCACATCGTTATAATGTGTTATGGAACATGGTCGGAGATTCTTGCCGCACATTGATATAAACTGGTATTACTATTAGTTATAAAACATTAAATCAAAGGTTCATAATACATTATGAACTTTGCTACAGCGCCTAATGCATGTTTGTAAGTGATTATATCAATTGTTATAATGTCTTATGGATGCATTATATCGTGTTATAAATATATTTAAGTCATTATAGGGATGACCTTCATAGAAAGTATTACCATCATTTTTAATGCAAAGTTGACATTGTGTGGGATGTCTTATGACAATTTGACATTAACCAATAAACATGCCATTGCAGGCCTACTTATCAAACTTAAAGAAACAATTTAGCTTTATGTGTCAACATTACATTAAACTGTCACATATCTCATGCACATTCCTTCAGTGTTACAAAGTTTAATTTGTGTCGTTCACTGCATTACAAACTTAAAGGGAAACTTAAAGGGAAACTGGATGTTTTAGGAATAAACACCCAACAAAAAGATACTATTATGCAAATAAGATAACACAAGTCTTCCAGTTGATCTCATGAGTTACGCTCAGCTGAACTCAGGCTACAAAAACAGTCTGTGTTATTTCCAAGGTGGAAAGAGTACAAAAGTATTCTACTTAAGTAAAAGTACGATTACTCTGATGAACTTTTACTTAAGTACAAGTAAAATTACCGGTATGAAAATCTACTCAAGTAAAAGTAAAAAGTAGCTCATTTAAATTTTACTCAGAGTAAAAGTTACTTAGCTACTTTTTTAACCTCCTAAAAGAACTTAATTATCTTGATTTAATATGTTTGATTAATTAAATTACAGTCTTTTGCAATTTGATAAGGGATCAAATCCATGTGGCCCTTTCAATTTTAGTTTGTATGACTGATACTTCACTTCGCCAAATCAATGGCAAAAAACAATGACATTTTATGTTATAATGAGAAGTTTGAGAAAGTTTTCGCTTCATTAAGAAACTGTGGCGGGAAACACAGGACAGTATGAAGTCATATCCCTATTTAGATATAAACAGGTGGTAAGTTTAATGGGATATCATAAGCGTTAGTATAATAAATAACTAGTTACCAGCAGGTTGGTAATGCCAACCAACTTCCACCCATTTCTTTTTGGCTATTTGGAGCAAAGCATCTTAACAAACTCTGAAAACTTATTTGGAAGTATAACAAGAAACAAATGGAAGTAGGCCTAGGCTATTATTTAACTGACCTCTACATCAGGGGTCCTAAACTACATTTGTTAAGGGCACAAAAGCAGACACTTCGGGGACTGGAATTTCAAAAATAATTGCCATTTTACTGTTTAATAGTTCCAACTTTCCCAAAATGAACAATTTTATTAGCTTATATCACTGTAAACAGACTCCTAAAAAACACGGTAGACTTAAATCCATAATGATAAATTTACATAAGCTACCACATAGGCCTACCTAAAGGTTCAGTGTGTAATATTTCTGAGGATCTATCGACAGAAATGCAATATAGGATCCATAACTATGTTTTCAGTAGTGGATAAAGACCTTACAAATAAACCATTATGTTTTTATTACCTTAGATTGAGCCATTTATATCTACATAACCGCAGGCACTAATTCCATGGATGTTGCCACGTTGCATCGTCATGTTTCTACAGTAGCTGAAAACGGACAGTGCTACAGAGCGCGTTTCATCACTACGGTTGCTTTTGGTTTTAATGTGAAGCTGTAGCAGGAGGAACTGTTCAGCTAGCATTAGCAGTAACTTAATACAGCATTTTGTTACAGCTTACACAGCATGATAAAGCTCTTGTTCTCTTGCACTTGAAGCCAACGTGGTCGCAAGTTTTTATTGCACTTTTGTTTTTACTCAGTAATGTATGTGATTGAAAATATAGCGAGTCCAATACTTTAAACAAAACATACTGAAGTAAAAGTAAAATTACAGATTTAACTACTTTAAAAAGTACAAGTACACAAAAAAACTACTCATTTACAGTAACATGAGTAATTGTAATTCGTTACTTTCCACCTCTAGTTATTTCCCTGTATACATTCTCTCCAGTGCAGGTCACCTTGACATTAATTTCCTTTTACTGAGTTGCTGCAGAAACCAGAAATGCAGACTTACAGATAGATCAGTAACGTCTTACCAGTGCATGATGGAGTAAGAATTCCCACGATCCTCTTCCGTGTCCTGTCAGGATAATATCACCTGCGTCTTGTACAAAGTATCCTAACAGAGAAGAGAAAATGTCTTTCAGGGTTAATCAGCTAAATAACAGTTTGGTCAGTTTATAAAATTGGAAAGTCCAGTACTGATAGTGAAGCTAGTGTCAAATGCTAAGATGTGTACAAATTCAGGTGATACAATGGTGGGAAACATCATCTATTCTCTAGTCCAAGATAAGGACAGGAAGAAAAAAAACATTTTTTATTTTACTGTCATGACAAATGGAGTTGATTACAGTAAATATACACATGCAAGGAGTTTGGTGTGATTTTTCTATTTTTCGATCTTTCGCATTAAATCTGCATGTACATAACTTTATGTCTGTTCAAACTACAGCTTAACCAGGAAGGCTCAGATAATCAGAGAAGCTACTTCTTTGTTTGTGCAGTAGTGTAAATGTAACATTGACTGAAATGATGACGCTAGATGGCGCTGGCACTGTCAACCAGACAGGTGTAACTCGATAAACCAGACAAATCTTGGATTTCTGTTCACAGTGAGTGTGTTGTTGTTCACCTCACTACTTCATAAAAATGGATACAGTAACAAGTAATTAATAATAAAAATGTGGGTTTTGTTTTGTTGTTTGACATGTTCCCAGTGTGAGAACATGTTTTGTCCAAAATAACAGCAGCTTTGAATTCACAGATGTCTTACAGACGTGCAAACATTTACTTTTTGTTACAGGGGGTCATCAAGACACGTTAGGAGTCAAAGTTTGCTTAACCAATCTGACAGCATAGTTAATTGTCTATCTTCATCATTATCTTTAGACGATGCCAACTAAACAATTCACAACATAAGCAAGGTTAATTAAACCATGAAGGCATCATTTAACTGAAGGTCTGTGACTGACACACTGTGGATAGTGAGACACACAACCAGCCCCTGTGTCAAAGAACATGACCTTCAGTATCTGGCGTGATTTGCCTCAGTGGATCAAATAGCTGTTTGTGGTTGTTAAGGCAGATCTCCAAAGATTTGTCTCTTCATGGTAACACAAAGATGCACATAAGCCTTGACCTGAATTACCTTTGGTGTCCATGGTGATTTAGAGGAGACATTTGTCTGTTATGAGAATCATGTGAGAGGGGCGGTTATTTTGGTTGTTTCTCTGAAAAGCAACTGGAAAGGTGGAAGTTTTACGTCCCCAGAGGGTTCAGTTCAATTGAAAGGTAGATGAGAAAATGCCATCAATCAACACCTCTCCCACATTCCCGTCTCATGCATGAAACTAGAGCTACAATGAGGAAATTAGTCTGCAACTGTTTTGATTATCAAATAATCACTGTAGTAATTTTTTAAGCAAAAACTGCCAAATATATGTTGCTTTCCTGTTCTCTATTGTATAGATTTGATCGTTTTCTGTCACACATTATATATTTTTGAGTCATAGGAAACATATTAAGGCACTACCTTGGGCTGTGGGAAATTGTAACACTTTTCAATATTTTATGGACAAAAACATCAATGGATGAATCTAGGTAATAACCCTATTTGAAGAAAAGTTCACAAACACATCCAAACTTCTCTGTACCAAAAACAAAAATGTCCATCTTCATTTAGATACCAAAACCTAAATTTACATTTGTGTTACTTGTTTTTTCACTGACCTGTTGAGACACAGACGAGCATGTAGGACAGAGGGGTGCTGTAAGAGTGGAGGTTGCTCAACGTCTCTGGCCAAACCACCGCACTGGAGAGGGACACATATTGTGGATAAATGCGCATTCGCCTAACTCAGACATACAGTACAAGGACTCACTCCTGGAGAAAAAAACCTGACTATGCAGAGACATTAACATCAGGTGCTTGTTCAACCACCTGACCAATAAAAATCCATCTTTTTAGCAGTTGTAAAAATACTGCTTATAATGTTTTATTTCATTTTGATACTATGTTTTATCTAGTTTATATCGGTGTCTATATATCTAAAAATATATTTTTCTACAAGTATTTATCACTAAAGTCGCTGATTTTGCAATATTCTTTGTCGCTTCTTGCTACTGTTTGGCAAAAGGGACACACCTCAACAGTTTCTATGTGTGTTCCCTCCCTGTATAAACATACCATGACATAATTATTGCTAATAAATGACCTATAGGCCTTGTGTGACATATAAGGCACTGTACTGTTTCATGTGTTTCCTTGGCAGTACTTTCAGTGCCCAAAAACCTACTTTTGAATACTTATGAAAACTTCTTTCTTTCACCTCCACAGAAGCCCTCATCTGGGGTATTGCCAATTCATACTTTCACATGTTAAATGCAGCAATAGCTGTAGCAGGGTGCTGAAAGCTTTCAAAAATGTCACCTTGCTTCTACTGATAAATGTTAAAAGATGAGTCACAAAGATGGTACCCGCCCCAAAAAATAGTTTCTCGTGATGCTTTCATAAGATTCGTTTGGCTAGCAGGTTTTTCAAGTTTGTATATTTGTGAGCTGTTGCCTGAGCAGCCCTGATTATTGGCTGAATGTGGGGTTGAAAAGATTCACCTCCTTACAAAACCTCATAGTCTGACACAAATTCACCAGTACAAGCAAACAGCAATAAGAGCTCTGTGTGGTTCATACTGTACAGTGGCATTTCCCTCCCCACTTAAAAATGCCATTGTCTCCCCCATCCCTCACCCTGTCTGAACATGCCCTTCTTCTCTTAGCTGCCACAGACTGTCACTGCTGCACACACAGTCCCACACATAACACATCATGTGGACTGTGAATAGACAATGGTGTCCCAGTGTGGATGGGTGGACAGATAGATGTTTGGATGGAAACTTACCAGGTCAGAGCCCATGGCCCAGTCAGCAGGGAGTGCACCATTGAGACAGAGAGGTTCCTCCACTTCCAGGAGCGGAAGTCATTCTCCTTCACCACCTTAGGCACAGGCAGCCTCTGCAGCAACCGGTGGGCCACCCTGAAAAGCAGAGAGCACACTAGCACTGACTGGCCTGGATGACTCTTCAGCACAGGAAGCAGGGCGTCCATCCTCTCCTCCCCACCCCTGCTCTCCCTGCCTCTGGGTGCGTGCTCTTATTCTCTACAGCTAGACGTCCCTTCGTCCTTTTCCTCCTGTTGGCTTTTTCGTGCTCCTGTCAGCGTCTGCTCGGCCCGGTGATGGACAGATATGCACGGTATGTTATGAGATTATTCTGTAGGAGACGGGCCTTTTTTCCACGTATTCTCTCCGCAGAGCTGAAATCCCAGTGATGCCGCAGCCTTTTATTTTCTCACGTTTTCAGCGTCCCGATCATGGAGAGGAAGGCTTCAGTGCGACGGTGTTTGTCTTCACGCAGCGCCCTGTAACGTCATGTGCCACCTCTCTGCCCGCCTGTCTGTTGCAGAATGAAGATGGGAGTGGTGGAGAGGGAGCGGAGTGGGTGGTGCTTTTGCTGCACCCTTGAACCAGAGAAACAAGGAGGGGCAGAGCCTGCGATCATGTTACGCAAGAAACGAAAACACAGAGCCGAGCTGTGCACGTATTTTCAGCGGCATTGTAATATTTTTTATGGCCGCTGTGAAATCTCCGCCTGCATTTAATTTAGCCTATTAACAACAACAACACTAAAGATTTAATAATGATCTCCAACGCAGGTTGTGCTTCCTTTACTAGCCTAATTTATAAGCCATTGTCCACATTTTTGTGTTTTGATGTTTGGAGCAGGAAAATATGCCATAGGGGGATAATCTATCTTAAAAGTAGGCTGACAGTAGCAGTACCACAATGTTATTACAAATAAAAGTATTTTATTTAATTTTTTTTAGTTAGAGACCTGTTAGCAGGGTGCGATCTGTAAAAAAAAAAAGCAGCAAAAACAAATTCTCCCGCTGCTTATAATTAAAGTAACTGATTAAAAAGCCGTCACTTTCAAGAGTGTCATTTAGTGAAACCCTGTAGCTGTTTGTTCCGGTATGTTCACTGGTGTAACAGGAACACTGGGCTGCTTGTCACCATATAAACAGATTATCAGATTGTCAGATCAGCTTTAGTCCTCTGCTCTCATAACTGTTAAATTTGTGACTTGTAGCCAATCAGATATTTCCGTGGGCGGGAGCAGTGACTACAAACAGAGAGAGGCAGCTGGATCAGAGCTATAAGCGCCAAAGTTTTGTGATCTGTTGCATTACTGAAGTAGCAGTGATCACTCTGAGGGGGGATAAATTTTGTCAACACTGGGGATAAAAATAGCCTAATGGTTTGGTTCATTGCTGATGTTGAGAGGTGAGGGCCAGTGGTGAACACCAAAGGTGAATCTTAGGTCCTCTTTCATTTTTAGATTTGCATGCTGCAAATGGGGCAAATATTTAACAAACGTGTTTATGCTGATGATACACCACTGTTTGTTCCCCTTAAACCAGTTCTGTCAGTGTAGTCAGCTGACTTTCTGATCTTTTTATTTGACAAGCACCCAGTGTGGTACCTTGAGAACAACAGCTAAATTCAATAATTTTTAATAGCTGAGATGTTGAGAAAGTAGTTGATGCTTTTATATCCTCTGACATGGACTACTGCAAATCATAAACATTCTGCCCAAATTGCTATTACTTGGATTTGAACTATACAGGATCAATCTGATAATTATCATATTAATATGATTCATTACTGTATATAGGTTACTTTAATGTAGATATTTTCTTATTCACACAACTAAATTTCTGTAGGCCTAATCTTTTTTGTTTCTTTATTCTTAAAAGTTCTCTTGGGCCTTGTAATATTTTAGAGAAGTTCATACTTGCATAAAGATAGTAGCTTCAATACATTGCATGTATTTAATGATCAAATACAGAATTATTTAGGTAAACTGGTGGCAATGTCAACAGTAAATGCTGTTACTGTAAGTATAGATTTGATTAATAATATAACCAAATGCATCTTTGTTATGTTTGCAACCTAACAATGTAAATCTGGTATGTTAAACAGGCTGCCCAACAGTGTCCTTCCCTGGCCATAACTCTTTCCATAAACAAAGTGGGCCCTCATTCCCCACAGCTGGCCTCTCTGCAGCCCGGTGGGGGGGAAAAGGAAGCTAGCTGACTAAAGCACACGAGGAACAGCTAAGAGGCTTCCATTTACACACATTACCGCCTGCACCACAGCGGTCTGCGTGAAATATAAACCCACACACAAGGAGTTTACTTTTCTTACCTGCTAAAAGTTTTTAAGTTTATTCACAACTTCTTTAATCCTATGTGTACATTTGTGTAGGTCACATACTTCATCTATTTTAGCAGCAACTTTTGTTTTATTTTTTATTTATTATTCATTATTTATGTATTTTTATTAATTATATATAAATACTAATGTGTTTTTATCCCTGTGGTTTAGAAGTAATTAATAGTGTGTTTCTGGCCAGGGACCTTTGTTGCCTGTCACCATTATTTCCTATTACCTCTTAACTCTTTTCTCAACCTCTACTATGATCTAAAGTCCAACATAGTCTAGTTTTTTATAATTGGTAACACACATTTCATTATACCCTTTTTAAAAACAGCTATCTTTACCAACATGCAGCTCAGCACAACAGCACCTAAAATGCACTAACGCAACTAAAACACTCAGGATCAACTTTTGTACCAGAACACTAAAAAGATTTGTCTTCCTCGCTACACAGTGACCCAAAAAGCACCAACAACAGGTAGAGCATTGCAATATGTATCATTATTGTATTTGAAGTATTATTTATTTATTTAACAAGACTCCATTGCAACAAAAATAAGGTCACATCTTTATTGCATGACTTAGTAATGTGTAACATGGATGAGTGATTCCAAGTGTACAAAATGAAACTAATCTCTGAAATGCTATACAAATTATACATAGTTACTATACAGACATGTCCAGGAAAGATACAGTTACAGAAGAGTTATAGTGCTAACTATGCCTTTTGCATTTGGCAAGAAGTTTTCATCCACATCACACCTTATCTCTTCTCTTGCAATACATGGGATAGACTCTTTCTGCATGTCTGATCAGTCCCTGGAGATCTTCTGCAGATATGTCCAGACAGCCAGCAATCATTGTTCCAAAGAGGAACATCTGATCATGTGGCTGGTGGTCAAACGTTTCACCTCCATGAAGACAAGGATTCCTCTGTGGGGTTGAGGAATGGAGAGTAAGGTGGAAGTAAAAGTGACACCATCCTGGGATGGGCTGTAAACAACTCTGTGACTGAAGAGGACAGTGAAATACCACATCATCCCATACAATTACAAAATGTTCTGGATTCTGCCTCAATTGCCCCCTTTCATAGGGAGGTCCATCGCAGGGCCACACATAGACGAACAACCACTCACACACCTAAGGACAATTTAGGGTAACCAATCAACCTAGCCTGCATGGCTTTGGAAGGTGGGAGGAAGCTGGAGCACCTGGAGAGAACCCACGCAGACATGGGGAGAACATGCAAACAGAAACTCCACACGGAAAGGCTGGGGCAACTGGGGTTTGAACCCACGCCCTTCTTGCTGTGAGGCAACAGTGCTAACCACCACACCACCGTGCCGCCCCAATTAGGAGTTTATATATTTTTATTTATTTTAGTTTCTCTTTAGCAGAATGTTGCAAATTGCTCACAAATTTACAGTAATGTGTGATATTTTCTGTATATGTATATTTACAATAGCATGTAAACATGTGCAAAATTGAGTTTTGTTGTTGTGTTTGGTTTGAGTGAGAAAACAGTTCATGAATTTTGAAAGCTGTGGTCACTGCATGCATTTTGTGTCAAAGCAGTGAAAATTGATGTCATAGCCTACTGTAGAAAATGAGTCTGCTCCCTTTATTCAGAAAGACATCATACGGGGCTTCGGCTACAATATAAAAAGACACCACTAGATGGCTGCAAAGCCTTGTGTGACATCTCTATTTTTCAGTTCAGTGGCTCCCAGTTCTTCATCAAACCACATGGGGGCGTCTCTCTCCAAAAACCTCCAGGAACACCCACCTCTCTGGGGTAGTGATTTTTGAGATGTGATAGAAAATTCCCTGTGATTTTTAAAACTGTGCTTCCTTTCGTTAAAAATTCAAAACAGTCAAGTTACACTGTTCTCCAGTAATTATTTAAATTAACTGAAATAAAATGTGTATGAAAGAGACAAACAAAATAGAAAGAGATGACTAAATATGTGTTATCAGTGTTGGTAACAGGTCCAAGGTTCCATTTTCTTAAAAATATGCTAAAATATGAAACTTCAAGCATGAAACAAAGTAGTATAGGCCTATCTGTAACACAACCCCCTATGGTTAGAGAGAGAAATGTAATTTAATTCCATTTATTGTGTTTCACTGTGGGTAGTTTTGCTGTAGATTGAGAGGACGAGAGCCTGGCTTTCATAGTTTGATCATAGAAGAATGTAATTCCTCACAGCTTCAGGTTTCCAAAGAAACAGCTCAGGATTTCTGACAGCGCACAAAAAGTTCCATACAGCTGTAGTTGTTATTGTTGCAGCCAGGCCACAACAAACTGTCTGCTGAGAAAGTCTCCCAATATCATGTGATGTGTTTGAGAGGTGGTTCTTTGTGCCTGGCTCAGCTTTGACCCACATTGATTTTGGGGTGATTTTTCTTCCCCCTGGGGGATGTTGAGAAACAGCTACTGTTGAGACCCTGCAAGCAGCCAATAGAGAGAAAAAAACTGGGGGTTAATCATTTCCATTGAGTGCATCATAAATAACAAAACAAAATACAGGTCTGTCTTGGTCAGGAAGATCCAGTTTCATTCTCTGACAGTAAAATGGCACTTTTCCGTTCTAGAGAATTGTGGAAATAATCATTTATTGACATTGATTGCCCATACTGCATTCATCATGTTTTAACTAAACAGTTGCTTTCACTAACAAGAACCACACCACAACAATATGTCAGTTAAAGGTTTAATGGATGAATGGATGTAAAGAGGAAGGGTGAAGGTGGAAGAAGCATGTCAATAGGCCTGTTTCGCATTAGACATTTTGACTTGTCATAAACTCAGGTGTTATTATAACATTAACAATTCAGCCCTAATTAACTGTATTATTTACACATGTGCTTTTACTCTTGTGTAATGTCGTAATGTATTGTATGAAAAGGCTGAGAAAAAGAGATGAAGCATCGCTGTGATGAAACAACTTCATCCACAACTTCCTGTCTTGCCTTGATACATCTCTAAAGATGAAACGCTCCTCTTTACAGGTTCATGGGGTTTTGAATATTTTAGGCTACACAATCCTACACTGCATTCCTGGACATTGACTGTTGCATCTGGAGACAGATCTGCTGTCAGAAGACAGGCCAAATATGTCACTAAGCTGGTCTGAGCAATGACGTATACACTCCAGGGCGCCTTTAGGTGCACCTTTGTTGACATATTATATCAGTGAGAAAGAGAACTAACTATTGTTTGTTAAACCGCCTACTCACATATCTTCCCTCGAACTAACTTCATTCTAAAACTGCAAATTGTAGAGAAAAGGTTCAATTACAGGAAGATCACTGTTTGTGGTGATATATCATTATTTCAGATTGATGATAATAGTGGAGGTATGTACTTCAGTACAACACAGAGCAGGCTTTGTCACAGCACAAAGCATTTATTATCCCCATCGTGGCAGAGAGGGGAAACAGTGCTCATGCAGCCTCCTTCCTGCTTATCTCAGACAAGGGGAAGGCGCTTTATAATCACCAGGCGTCTGGATGTATAAGACTACAGTATCTGAAGTCCATGCTCAAGAAGCTACACTAATCATATCTGTCTCTGTGTTTCTCTCGCTGCCTCACTGTCTCCGTTTCAGTTTTCAGACTTTTCAGATGATAGACTTCAAACCAGATTGCTGTTTGTGGAAAAAGTGGAAATTAAGTATAGCAAAATAAAGCCAGATCACTCACTATTATTCTTTGCCTCTTATTATTTGCTGTGTTCCTTGGTCTGCATCAAACAAGGAAGTTGATCCCAAAAAGCAGGAGTTGAGAAAAATGACATGTGCTTCAGCTTGATTTTAATATAATATCTAGTCTACTCACTTTGTTTAATCTATGGTTTTATTCAGACCTATGATGAATTTAAGGTCCGTTGCAGAATAGAATGGCATCCAAGAAATAGATAACAAATAAAATGTATATATTTTCTAAGTCTTTAATCATTTTAACAGCATTATCAATAGTCTACCCTGTTTAAAATAGCCTACTTTTTGAAAAGGCCTATGTCACTGGCATTAAAAGCAAATGCATACACTAAAAAACTGTGTCCCAAATTACAAAACATTGAACAACAGTGAAAATGCATTTTGTGTCAACTACAACAAAAAATGGTGAATCATGCTTTGTCAAAACATCAATCATCATCATCAATTTTTTTCACATAAAGAAAGCATCTTTGACATTCCTCAACATCTTAAGGGATTCAGAAATTATCTTATGTTAGATTAATTTATTAAATGTAAGACAAGAATGAGATCACAAGATAGAATTACAAAAACTTTCCCAATATAGAGAACATTTTTGCTAAAAACCTTATAATTCAGCAATGTCAGGTGATTAAAACCTAGTGAATAAAAGACGGGGACAGAAATTAAGGACAATATTTTCCAAGGCCTTTTTCAAAGCAGACACCATATTAATGATGTTATATATTAAAGATATTGATGTTTGCTGCTTCAGTTTCAGGGTCCTGGTCTTGAATGCAGGCTCACAAACTCTTCCTCTGTGAAAACATGTATTAAATGTGAGTCACTAATCATTACTGAAACTTCTGTAAACCTCCATTTTATGTTTGGCAGGATAGTTTTTTTCTTTGCTTTTCTTTTTGTCCCTCGTTGCGTCCTGTAGTGCTGCGGACAGGTTGCCAGGAGACGGCGGAAACGTTTGGAAGCATCGATGGAGAAGTATGAGAAAATTAAAGTTGTCGGAAGAGGAGCTTTTGGGTAAACTAAACTTACTTTACTTTGTGTTAGACACATCTGTCATTCTGTCTTATCTACAAATATATGTCAAGTGTTAACTAAGTAAGCTAGAAGTCCGAAAGTCCTCAATTTTCCTAGAAATAACGGGGCATTGTTTAACAAAAAAAGGTTAACTTTACTTGAAAAGCATGTCGAGCCTATCTTTGTGCTAACGTTAAATCTTAATGCCAAAGCCACTCTGGGCTTCTACAATAAACTATGTAGGCTTTGTCAGTTACAGTTTGTGTGGATTTTCTTTTCAGATTTTGTTTTGACGTTTTAGCTAGGCTAGTTATTACGTAACATTAGTTACTGTTATCATTCACACTCGCACATTCAGCCAGTCATCTGATCTGTTGTATTCACATCACTTTGAATTACTTTTGACGGTACTTCACATCTGAAAGACAAAGTTGATATTTAAAGATAGGTAAGAAGTTGCTGGAATATCTCTCCAAAGTGAGACATGAGATTACATCAAATAATATACCAGAACTGGAGTTATCCGTAACCTTACTCATTTTGTGTGAAATTGAAACGTTATTTAAAAATTAAATATTCAGCAGAGGCATGTTCACTCAGGACCTGTACAGTACAACTGTAATAAAAATTTAAATATTACTACAACATTTCAGAGGGTACTTGTGTACTTTATACACTATGTACCAGTTACTTTTTATAGATTAAAATGTGAAACTAAATGCTCTCCAGGTACACTCATAAGTTTATTTTTACATGCAAAGTTCTTATATCATCATGCCTGGATTACTGCAACAGCCTTTATACATGACCCCAAAAAAATCCATTGATCGACTCTAGACTGTCCAGAACTCAGCTGCCAAGCTTTTGACCAGAACATAGAAATATGATCACATCACTCCTGTTATATTTTCAGTACACTGGCTGCCATATTTTAGAAATACTTTAAAATTATATCGATTACTTTTAAACTCTTCATGGTCTCAGTCCCTGTTATATCTCTGACCTTTTAGTCCCATACGAACCAGCATGTACCTTGAGATCCTTGGGCAGAGGTATTTTGTCTGTTTCAGAGTGTCGACCTAAAAATAAAGTGTACAAAGCGTTTGCAGTCAGGGCCCCAAGGCTCTGGAACAGCATGTCCGAGAAAAGCAGGGCAGCTGAGTCAGTGAACTCTTTTCAATCCTTCTTAAATCATACGTTTGAAGGAGAGTCTTTTCTGATTTTAGTTGATTTTATTTATGTATCTATTTTTCTGTTAACTGTATTTTAATTTCTTAAATTTCTTTCTGTTTTTACCTTTATTTGATGTGTTTTATTGTCTTCGCTATTGTGAAAGCACTTCGTTACATGGTTTTGAAAAGTGCTCTATAAATAAAGATGATTATTATTATTATTATTTAATGAGTTTTAATGAGCCAGAGTGACAGAAATGTGTTTATAATAATATATTTATAATAATATTTTTTTATATAAGAGCGTTATTAACTTACTGTCAATTGCAGAAAATAATGTAAATCTGTATTTTTGTGCATTACATCTTTATCTGTGTTAAATATGTAGTGATTGTTTTTGGAAATCATTGTCTGACTGGCCTTGGACTTTACAGAAGGAAACACACATTTCCCTTCTTCACACATAATAAGCAATTGGAAGGACCATGTTGGTGGGTTCTTTGTCATTATTTACCCTTTTTAACACATAACCAGCAGTGTGTGGAATTGTTGGGTTACATACAACATTAAAATATACAGTACAGTAGTTCTTAAAAAATAACAACTGTAATTAAGCAGTGTGATAGGAAATATTCTTGTGTGATCCAAAGAGTGTTTTTGTCTTTTGATACTATATTGCATTTTAGTGCAAATACACCTACAGTATCTCACAAAAGTGAGTAAACCCCTCACATTTTTGTAAATATTTGATGATATCTTTTCATGTGACAACACTGAAACTGACTACTGGAACCATGTCCTGTGGTCTGATGAGACCAAAATAAACTTTTTTGATTCAGATAGTGTCAAGCGTGTGTGGCAGCAAACAGGTGAGGAGTACAAAGACAAGTGTGTCTTGCATACAGTCAAGCATGGCGGTTGGAGTGTCACGGTCTGGGGCTCGATGAGTGCTGCCGGCACTGGGGAGCTACAGTTCATTGAGGGAACCATGAATGCCACCATGTATTGTGACATACGGAAGCAGAGCGTCCCTTCAGAGACTGGGCCCCAGGGCAGTATTGAAACACACCTCCAAGACGACGACTGCCTTGCTAAAGAAGCTGAGGGTAAAGGCGATGGACTGGCCATGCATGTCTCCAGACCTAAACCTTATTGAGCATCTGTGGGGCAAATCAAATGGAAGGTGGAGGAGCGCAAGGCCTCTAACATCCACCAGCTCTGTGATGTTGTCATGGAGAAGTGGAAGAGGACTCCTGTGGCAACATGTGAAGCTCTGAAGAACTTCATGGCCAAAATGATTAAGGCAGTTCTAGAAAATAATGGTGGCCACACACAATATTGACACTTTGGGCTTAATTTGGACATTTTCACTTAGGGATGTACTCACTTTTGTTGCCAGTGGTTTAGACGTTAATGGGTGTGTGATGTGTTATTTTGAGGGTACTACTTTACATTGTAGCAAAGTGTCTCTTCAGTGTTGTCATGTGAAAAGATATAATCAAATATTTACAAAATGTGAGGGGTGTACTCACTTTTGTGTGTGTGTATATATATATACATATATACATATATATATATATTGCTTTCAGATTGATGATTGCCATTGCTCAGTAACACTGGAACACCAGACCTAAACTACAAAAGATCATCCTACTATATTGTGTATGGAATAAAATATACATCTAATTTTTCTTCATTTTCCTACCTTGTCAGGATTGTTCACCTGTGCCGCAGGCGCAACGACGGGGCTTTTGTCATCCTGAAGGAGATCCCAGTGGAGCAGATGTCACGAGATGAACGTCTGGCAGCTCAAAACGAGTGTCAGGTCCTGAAACTGCTCAACCATCCAAACATCATAGAGTACTATGAGAACTTCCTTGAAGACAAGGCCCTCATGATAGCTATGGAATATGCACCAGGTAAGCTTACTGTATCTTATTACATGATGGCCTTTTGTTCATTGTCTAGCGGTTCACTTTTCCCATGGTTTAGTGCTGTAGGGCTCCATACCTTAACTCATTCCCATGTCAGCCTGGAAAGGCCAAACGAGAACATCTAATCTGTGTGGTGCTGTTTTTAGGGACAGGTATCATTCTGTTATATTACAAAGCATAATGTGAAAAAGGTTAGTCCAAATTTCTGCAGCAAGACCCAGTGCCAGTATTCAGCCTGGGTTTCTTGATTTGCAGGTGGAACCACCATATATTACTAAAACTGATATATTTATATTTGTTAGATATAAAAGTGAAATTCAAAGCTATCCCATATTTAAACTCCCATAGCAACTTGACATAGTTCAGTCTTTTTAAGTCTTCTCTCTTATTGTTTTAATTATTTGTCATTATCATGCCATGTTGTTGTCATTATCCTACTATTGCTTTAGTAGTTCAGTTTGGTTTAGGTAAGTTTTATTTTGTCATGCTTCACATTTTTGTAGTTGGCTCAGGGCTGTGATTTAATGTCCTCTTTGTTACCTCAGACTCTCAACTAATCTAAATTAAAGTTTAGTAGGAAAATGACAAATGGTACAAAATAACATTTTGTGTTAAATGCCCTGCTTTGCTACAAAATGGTTTGATCGTTGATTGGGTCATGTTTCCTGACATCAAGGCAAATCACTGAAGGAGGGTGTAAAGTTTAGTTTTTTTGAAACATTTCTTGAAGCAAGAATTGTTTATTAGCTTGGTATACAAAAAAAATCTAAAGCACACTGCTTCATTGTAGCAGATAAAAAGATATTTACACTAGATTATTGTTTTTTGTTGACATTAACATTTCACTTGAGCAACAAGAGCCCCTGCTGTGTTCTGAACAGCTGTTAAATCCTTTTCTTATTGGCTTTGGTATCATCATCTCACTGCTCAGCCCAGTAACTTGATTGATTTCTAACTTATTATGGGTTTAACAAACAATGTTTTGTTTTTGTCAGGTGGAACCTTGGCTGATTACATACAGAAGCGCTGTAACTCTCTGCTGGACGAGGACACCATCCTTCACTTCTTTGTACAGATCTTACTTGCCCTGTACCACGTCCACAACAAACTTATTTTACACAGAGACCTTAAGACACAGAATATTCTTCTGGACAAGCACCAGATGATTGTCAAAATTGGTGATTTTGGCATCTCAAAATCCTTGTCAGCAAGAGCAAAGCTTACACGGTGAGTTGATTTGCCTTTGTTTTCAAATTGTAATGACTTCAGTAACATACATTTCCCTATGTGTTGAATCCTAACATGTGCAAGCACAAATCGATGCCTCTGTTTTTCACTCTGCAGGTGGTCGGGACCCCATGCTACATCTCCCCAGAGCTGTGTGAGGGAAAGCCATATAACCAGAAGAGTGACATCTGGGCTTTGGGCTGTGTGCTCTATGAGCTAGCGAGCCTTAAGAGGCATTCGAGGCTGCTGTACTTAAAACATTTTCTTTACAAAAATCCCTCGCTTACTTGGATGTAGTGATTCAAGTAATGCAACAATGTTTGTGTTAACTTTCGCAGTATTTTCCATCTAATTTAAAGTGTAATGCATAAAATATTGCTGTGAAAAAAGGCAAGGAAACCATCAGAGCTACACTCAATGTACACCATAGGAGTGGATTCTTACAATTGCTCATAATATTTAATATGAAGTTGTCCCCATGTTTAACTCTAAAGCAGATTGCCTGGGCTTTTGATTCTAACACAGATCGATAATTCACAATTGAACATGTGAAAATCTTTTAGTAGAGATTTTTGGAGGGGATTCATCATATTTATAATGCATTTTGTAATTTTACTCTATAATGCTCTTTATTTTTGCTCTCAGAATCTACCCGCCCTCGTTCTGAAGATCATGAGCGGAACATTTGCTCCAATTTCAGACCGGTACAGCCCTGAGCTTCGACAGCTCATCCTCAACATGCTCAATCTGGATCCATCCAAACGGCCTCAACTAAATGAAATAATGGCTCTGCCCATATGCATCAGGCCCCTGCTTAACCTCTACACAGACATAGGCAATGTCAAAATGCGCAGGTGTCTGAATGCATGACTAATTCCTAGATAGATGTTTTAATACATGATTTGAGATTAAGATTTCCTATATTTTGTGTAATGAGTTCTTTCTTCTCTATTCTATGAAACAAATCCTCCTGTGGCTTTTTCTAGGATTGAGAAACCACTGTCTGCTGTGCAAACTGGTTGTCAAGGTAGACCAGGAGGGAGAGTTCCTACCAACAGGTCGAGAGGTTAGGAACAATATACCGTTATCTGACAAGAGAAGTAGCTGGACCAGGTTGATCATAGTACTTTAATTACCAATTTGTTTTTTATTTCTTGGGCATAAACAGATGGATCAGTCAGTTTGGGATCAGGGAAGCTACATTCCCTGCCGCTGTCCTCTGTGTATACGTGGGGAAGTGGTATATCAGCGCCTCTCCGTCTGCCGATGCTCAACACAGAGGTACTTCAGGTGTCTCTGGGCCGCACTCAGAAGATGGGGGTGACCAAGTCAGGCCGGCTGATTACATGGGAGGTCTGTGTAAACCCTTAATTATTTTTATTTTAGTTTTTACATGTTTTGACTTTACAAAGTGATGCATTATAAAGGAAAAAACCTCCCTATAGGACGGAACAGCTGTGATCTACTCTGCACTCCTGGGTCAACTTGTTGATGTACGAGGATGTATGTTTTCCTATTCTCACTGATAACTAGTCAAATACAGTTTAGCGATTGTTACGCTGATATATTTTTACTGCAGCTATAATGTAGTTCATTTTTTTCAGCTATCAAAAATATCAATAAGAATCCGGTTTTGGCATCAGCCCCTTCTGGCTTCTACACCAGCAGTTACCATCAGTGCAAACAGCCACCACCAATTTTCTAAAAGCAACATGTATTGCATTGGATTTCCTGGATTCTAGGAAACTCTAGGATATGTAGACTTAAATGAGGCTGGCTGGGGAATATGGGTACTTAATAATAAAATATCTGCTGGAAGGCATTGAACATCACAGATTGATGGTTCCTAATGGTGTATCAGATGGTGGATTTTTCTTTAACATTTTTAGTTACTTATGTTTTCCAGGAAAGAATTACATTATCACTCTTTTGCCCCCATTAAGACTAATCAAATCTCTGCTAATCACACTCATAATAATTTATTATCACAGGCGCCATCAGTGGGGTCTGGTGAGGCCAATCTGCCTGGTGTGGTGGAGCAAATGCAGCCTCAGTTCATTTCACGTTTCCTTGAGGGTCAGTCTGGAGTCACCATCAAGTCTGTGTCCTGCGGCGATCTTTTTACCACCTGCATGACAGGTTGGTGGGCCACAACGCTTTGTATAAGTAAGACATCACATCCGTGCCTAGTCAGCTTAGCAGGGAGCTCTGCTAAAAGAAATCAATGTTTATTCACACTGCACCACATGGCTGTGCAGCACTGAGACAGCATTTGAACGTACATATGAAAGTGTGGATACAGTCAGCTCTTTTCCAGATTTTAACAGATAGTGTGGATAAAATAAACCTCACCATGCTTACCTAGCAGTTTGGAAGTAGTTTCTCTTGGTGCTCTGTTAGTCAGTGTGCTTTAGGAGGCTGTTGTCAGTCCATCCAGCATTGCAAAGCAGATAACACAGGATTAAAGACCCTTCCTCTCAGCTCAGTGGCCTCTATTTCATCGCTTTTCACTATAGTGACGCAGATTAGCGTTTCCTAGATGTGGATTAGAAGCATTCTGTTGGTCTACGTAAGAATACACCTACACTAAACACTCAACTAATAGGGTCTTTAATCCCTTCTTTTTATTTTCAATTTGCAGACAGGGGTATTATCATGACGTTTGGGAGTGGGAGCAATGGCTGTCTAGGACACGGTAACTTCAATGATGTAACACAGGTACATATCCACCATTTAAAGGCAAATATTTGAATGTTGCACTCATATTAAATGCACACTCAGTTGGCAGTTTGTGAGCTACACCTAACTAAAACTGATGCAGTCTAATAAAACAGTCCTGTTATAAGGTCTATTGGTGTTTCTAATATTTTGTTCATATTATTTGTATCATTGTGGCTAAATATTAGAAATGCAACTCTCAGTACAATACAATATGGTTAAACAGAACCACCAACTCTATATTCCACAGTGATCATAAAGTTGCATCAACACCTTTCTAAAATTTGAACTTTCATGGACGCCAGATTTATTGCAAGACTTCATTTTATTATTATAGTATTTCTAGTATTTCTCCACTATGTACAGTAAACAGATTTTGTTAACTTTTGATTTAAAGTATGCAATTTTAAGTCACAACACCATCTGGATCCCATTCATTTTAACAGCAACATCTTTATTAATCTAATACAGTGTGCATTAATACATCCATGTGTCTTCCAAAGTTTTGTTTTTACTTACTGTAGATTTTTGCTTCATACTGTATGTGCTTATGAAACATATACTGTGAATTCCACACAGTCCTAAGTTCTTTTACATGTGTTTTATATGTTAGGAAATGTCCATAATTATAGCAACTTGCCAAAGAATTTCTTTTGGTCTTTTAACCTTTAGCGGAAATTTGATAGTAGAGAGCAGACAGGAAACAAGGGAAGAGATAAAGAGTGGTGTGACACAAGGTCCCTGTCTTGAATCGAACCAGGGATGTGAAAGTTATATTGTATATCTGTTAATGACTGGGTTACCAGGGCACCGCTTCCCTTCAGATGTTTGATAAAAAGCTGTAATATAAACATTACAATGATCACATTTCTTTTTTCTCTCTCTGTTTTTCTACTCAGCCCAAGATAGTTGAGGCACTCCTCGGCTACGAGCTGGTTCAGGTGTCATGTGGTGCTTCCCACGTACTCGCTGTGACCAATGAAAGAGAAGTATTTGCCTGGGGAAGAGGAGACAATGGTATAATAATCGATCCAGTTATTTTTGAACTCACTCAATCTATCTTAGTATTTATCTTTTGGTGTTTGTTTGCATGTGACTGGTTTTTGACAGCAGCAACTCAGTACACAGCTGAATTGTTGGGTTTCTGTCCCTGTTCCTCTTTCTGGTAGGTCGCCTCGGGCTAGGCACCCAGGACACACATAACTCTCCACAGCAGGTGTGTTTACCTGTGGAATTTGAGGCCCAGAAGGTGGTGTGTGGAGTTGACTGCTCCATGATTATCAGCACCCAATACAGCATTGTGGCTTGTGGAAGCAACAGGTAGTTACTCTATATTTTTCCACCCAAAACTATGGCCAGTAGTCTCTGTAAACATGTCACTGACTGACCTGAGCCAGTGATCAGCAGTGAAACATCTAATTTCACTGTTTTCCATTTGCCACTGTAAATTTTCTGTAAGCGATTTGTAGGTGTAGGTATGCTATAAACCTCATGTGCGTGGGGTGGTGATAGATGAAAGGAGTTCCTATGGTGCACAGAGGTACTTTCCTCATACACAACGTATGAGACAGCATTCTCCTAAAATGACAAACTCTTGTTTTGTCAATTGTTAATCCCTCTCTCTCTCTCAGAGAGGTTTTGGACTAGATGTATAGCTGTGTATGAGTCAGAGAAGCAACAGTAAATAACATTTCACTCATTTCTGGAGTAGGAGCAGCATTGTTCAAATACCTTTAACTCAGTATCTACCTGTAGACAAGGAAACATACATACAATATTATTGTGATAAACATACATTGTATATTGAAGAAGTGATTTAAAATGAATATCTTTTTCTCTATTATAAGTACATTGATGTTGTTGTGGTCAGGTTCAACAAGCTTGGGCTGGATAGAATAACAGCTGGAGAAGAACCAAATCCCTCGAATCAGGTGGAAGAAGTTCATTCTTACACTCCTGTCCAGTCAGCCCCACTCAGCAGTGAGACGATTGTTTACATTGACATTGGGACTGCCCATTCTGTGGCTGTTACAGGTAAAATATTATAATTATTAACCAGTAAAATAACATTTTTTCAGCAGACTTGTTTTGCTTATATGCATTTTTGTGTGATTGCCTCCATAATCTTTTTAAAAACCAGATTACATGAAGGCTGCTTGGGAAAATCACTTCCAACTTGTTCAACTTCTTCAGCAAAGTTGTAGCACCTAATAATCAAGCATGGTTTCATTTATTGTGTTAAAAGCCTTAACACTGATATTGATTTTTAAATTAAGCATCACCACTTTCGTCCACATTGTCCTTCTACAGAAAGGGGTCAGTGTTTTACCTTTGGCAGCAATCAGCATGGCCAGATGGGCTGCAGTTCCCGTCGAAACAGCCGTGTGCCCTACCCGGTGCCTGGGCTGCAGGGCATCACCATGGCTGCCTGTGGAGATGCTTTCACCCTAGCTATTGGATCTGGTGAGTAGAGAGGACTGTGTCTGTTTTTAAAGGCCCTGCACACCTTCACAGGCGTTTTCACTTATTTTGGCTAATGAGACCTCTGCTCATGTTGAAGATGGGCTGGGGCATATGTGAACTAATAAGAGTGATTAATTTGTCCCATTGTTACAGGTGTAACAAGGCTAACAGGAGAGTCATGGAGATATTGATAAAACACACTATACACACACACACACACACACACACACACACACACACACACACACACACACACACAAAACACGTAGGCCTTAAGCTGCAGACAGACCAGCCAGGTGAAATTTCCTTGTATGCTGTGGCCAAAAGCAGGGGCTTATATTACTTCACTGTGCAGGTATAAAACAAGAAAATAAACAAACTACATTTCATGAATGAGAGGTCAATCCAAACCAACTGGACTTTGAAGAGTCTCGCAAAAGGTGGTGGTTTTACAGCTGACTTGAGATTGCTGATTTTCCAACAAGCTTTTGAGCACAAAGCAAAGATATTTTAAAAGCCTCTCTTTATTTTACCTTACTGTTAATCACTCGCTTTAAAGAAGTTGTTTAGAGATATGTTTGAGAAGGAGTAAATACAATAGGGTTCATCTCAGCTCTGAGTTGAGACAACACCACTGATATCTGAGGTTTGGAAGAAAAGGGGAGGAGTCTGCATTTTAATGAGAATCATCCTGTTTCAAATGGCCCTATGTGACCACGCAACAGCAGTGTAACTCAAACAAAACAGATTAAATGTTCATTGTGAGGGATTTTAAGTATCTGGAAGTTTATTTTCATGTCAAACTGAAACAAATTGAAAGTTTAAAACTAATGGTTGTAGTACATGCAAATGGTTAGCAGTCATGTGACTCTACGAGGTTTTTAGCTAGTGGGCTAAACATACAAAACCCTTAGTATGGTTCTTTAAACATGTGGGTTAACAGATCGGTAACATATGTGTGTGTGTTTGTGCTTACGTGTCTGTAAGTGTATGTTTTTTTTCTTACACCGGAGGGTAAAATGTCATATTGTGCCAGCGATTGGCTCCCTGGGGAGAAAGCCAGCAGTGCCAGCCTTGCCTGTAGGTTTTTTGTTGAGGAAAGTCTTTGTTCAGCTTTCACTTGCTTCAGATTGAGCCATTATGCTGCCACTGCAGGAGAGACAGAGCTGTCAGTTAAAGATTTGTGTGGATTAATGCATCCTGTGGTTTGTGCTGTGAATTTGGAGAAACGGTGACCAGCTCTCCTCCCATCTTTCTACAGAAGGGGAGGTGTACACCTGGGGAAAGGGCGCCCGAGGCCGCCTCGGAAGAAAAGAGGAGGATTCTGGGATACCGAAGGCGGTGCAGCTTGACGAGAGTCACTCGTTCGCAGTGACATCAGTGGCCTGTTGTCATGGCAACACTCTGCTGGCAGTGAAACGTAATATTTTGCTTATTACTCCTTTGTTAACAAGCACTGGGAGATGTCGGGATGCGGTGAAATCTATCTCAGAGAGTGCTAATCCCCAGATGAAAGAACTTGAGATAAACTTTTTCTGATAACGTCAACACAGACGCATGGTTTACCATGCAGAATTGTGGAGGAGTCATTTGTAAGTTTGAAAGCTCACTGGCTAAAGACATGACACTAGCTTTAATACATCTATAAAGAATTTCCAGTCTCAACAAACTACTCACTTTCAGCTATACTTTGCAAACTGGATCAGAATCTTTCCATCTGCATGCCAAAAGTAATAATTCAGTCCAATGTTACATTAGATAGATTTTAGACTGAACTGAATGAAATGGCCATAGACCTCCTACCTAGAGGAACACACAAGAGCAAGTTGTACCTTTTTCCCAACAGTGACGGTGCAAAAGCCACAGATTCTAATAGAAACTGAAAAACAGTGAAGGTGGGATTAAATCATCCCTCTACACTCTAAATTAAAAATAGCTGCAGATTTAGAGAAGATTAAACTGCATCACAATTTCATAAGTAACAGAGACGTTGGTAATCCTCGCTACAGGCCACAAGGCTGATGTTTAAATGTTTCTTTGACCTGCAAGGTGTGACAAGGACATGGAGACCAACATGGACTAACACTCACAGATGTCATTAGCAGGGTCTACATAATACTGATCGGACAGTACCGGAAGCTGAACAGTAATGATGTATGTTTTTGTGTACAGTATATACTTTTTACAGGATCAAAAATAAGTATTTGAACACTTAATCTTAAACACACAAACACTGTGATTTTATAAAAAAATTAAATGCATATTCTATCATGAATGGACAGGAAGCGAAAGTCATGTCTTTAGGGGGGCTTATTTAAAGTAAACTAACAAACCAACAAAATCATAGTTAGGTGGTGGTGTGGATTTGAGTCAGAAACCTTTCTCCAGTGTGTCTGTGAGGTCTTTTTCCAGAACAGAGGTTTTGTGACAACAGCTGACTTTTGTCATGATGAGACATGAAACCAATATTGATGGGGTTTTTTTAAGTCTCCAAATATTCTGCAGATATTTAATATCTTGAAATCGGACTACTTTTATACCAGGTATTTCTTAGTAATTTTTTATGACATGAGCATTTAAAATGTAATTTGGACTGGTATCGGACACTAAAACTCTTTACCCCACCTATTCAGAGCCAGAGAATTAACAAGTCATGTGTTGTAAGTGAGTTTGCAACAAACAAGCAATGTACAGGTATTTCAGGTGTAACTGTACAATCTGTGTGCAAGACACGCCCACTTCTTTTTTATCTAGGAAAACAGAACAAATTGAATTAAAACAACATGCATTTTAAAGGGAGCATAAAACAGTGTGTACAACAAGAGATAACTAGTATCCATGATGAAGAAAATCAGCAAGTCATTGATTAATTGACTTGTGCTTTCAGCTGTACTGATTTGTTACCCATGTCCCTTTCTTCCCCTTGTTTCAGCTTTGCTTGAGGAACCTGTCCCGAGATGATTTTGTTCTAAAAACCTACCCACTCAGCGTTCGTCATGAAGCCCGGCGGTGGCATGAGGTGAAAGACAGCTTCCTCGGAATAACTCCTCCCAGAGGCCCATCTGTGCTGCAGTTGAAAGATTCCCTTTCATACTGCAGCTGTGGCCTCAGACTTTCACTTGGTCTTCCTCTCCATCTAGTTTTTTCACCCCTTCCTCCTGGAATGAATGTTTGTTTCATTTGGTGGTTTGATATCAGGCAGCAAAGCACATAAAAGGTCAAAACCTGTGTGTTGCGGCAGGTGTATCTCACAACAGGTGAGTTAAAGGAATGTTGCAACACTGTTAGCTGGATTACAGGAAGTCATTAGGCAGCTTTCACGCAGTGAGCTTTTGTCCTCTCTCACGTGCAGGGTTAGCATGATAAAGACCAGTAAAAGCCAAACTGGTTTGAGCTCTCTTAAGCCACTATTGAATGAGATGATACAATTCAAAGAAACGCAAAGAATAAATGCCACTTGAGTGTTTAGTAACTCATCAGTCAAATGAACCAAACACAGTAATCTTGATGACGTCGTCAGTGGCCACATTGTGCTTTATTGGATTAGCCCGCCAATACATTTGTAACTCAACAGAAGCGTTCAAATCAGATAATGATGTGTTGTGTAGGGTTCAACTGAACAACGTCTTTATGACTTAGAGAATGTGGCTGTGTCCGAAATCACTCCGTTGTTCACTCGTTCACTTGTTCACTGCTCCTTACACAGTAGACACTCAGTAGTTTACATTGTAGCGAGCAGTAAATTGAGATTTCACACGTATGAATCATCTACAGTTTGCTTAATCATTGTATATTGTGTATTGTGTAAACTGTATTCATTGGTCTACCAAAGTGAAGTGAGAATTGAAAACTGCCAAAGTGAAGGAAGAAGTACTAGCAATACCACAGTTTAGAAATACTCGGTGTAAGCAAAAGTCAAAAAAGTACTAATTGCTTAATAAAATTGAATTAGTGTATATACTTACAGGTAGGTTAATCTATAATAATACATTATCAATTATTAGTTGATTATAATTTGTATTAATAATCTGAATCTGCATAGTAATTATTAACTTAAGATGCCAAATAAATGTAGTGAAGTATCGTATCATGGAGATACTGTACTTGGGTACATTTTTGAGTAAATGTACTTAGTTACTCTCCACCATTGGTGGAGGGAAATCTTTGTAGTACATATGTATTTTTATATTTACATTTCTTGAATGTTATCAAATGTTATGATTATGATTGTCATGATTATTGTCATGATGAAAAAACAAGACAAGGCAAAAAAGACAAGAATTATTGTCACAAGTATCTGAAATTGAAATCTGAACTTAAATGTGCAATAAGATGTACAACTCCTGTGATAAACCATATGTTGTATGAGTTTTCACAGTGAAAAGTCATCAGACACATCTTTTTCAGAGAAAAAAATGGCTGCTAATGGATGTGGGGGGGTGATGTAGCAGTGGGTAAGACACATGACTTTGGTGTGAGAGACCCAGGTTCAATTCCCACTGTGAACCATCCACCATTGTGGCCCCTAGCAAGACACTTAACCGATCGTTGCTCCAGAGGCATGTGACCTCTGACATGTATAGCAATTGTAAGTCGCTTTGGATAAAAGCGTCAGCTAAATGAATAAACCTAAACATAAAATGTCTGGAAATAAAATATTAAACATCCATATCGTGACCAGGAAATGTTACTAATCTGTAGTTTTCACAGAGCTGTTATCAATATTGTCTAATATTTTTTTTTCAGTTATACTGTAGATTAATATGCTTTTTTCATCAATATATCAATAATCTAATAAGAAATTTTGGAGTAATTATTTCGTATTTAAGATGGGTTCACACCTTTTCTGAGGACATGGATCGTTTACCATTGTTGTCTTGTGTGATGATGCAATGATGATGTAATCTGGTGGCAATCCAGCAGGTGAAAAATGATCTGAATATGTGGATGTACTCTTTATTTTTCACTGTCAGAAAAATGATATCCAGTTTACGTTTCGTTTAGTGTGTGAGTGTAACAATTTTAGTCAGGCTTTATTTTATGAACAAAGGCAATATTTCAACATGAAATACAGGGAGAAAATATTATATTTCTTCACTTTGTCTGCCTGCTCTACCACCAGAGGGCACCTGCCATGTCTGGCTCTACTGTAGGCCTCTGTATTAGGTCACTTTTTATATTAATTCCACTTATACCATAACAACAAAACCTTCCTCACCTCTGTTTTTTTTTTTTACTAATTAGACCTATATTTGTTTAATATTTAATTAAGTAATGACTATGTCTTGTGTACGTATTAAAGTATATTGGTTTACATCTGCCAAATAAATAATAAATCTTAAACATGTGCATGGAAAACAGTGTATTTCATTAGAGGATGCTGCAGCCGCACAAAAGCTCAATTAAAGCTCCATAAAGAGAGATCAGAGGGATAAAATGGTGTGAACAGAGTGTTTCGGCTTCTTGACTCCTCCTGCGTGGAGGAGGAGGCGGGACTCAGTGCACCTAAACAGACGGTGGGGTAATGAATGCATTGTGCTCAGTGTGTCAGTGCTGCATCCACTGAGGAGAGAGAGGAGACAGGGCCACTCACGGCCACATTAACTCTGAGCTGTAAACCTGCACAGAGGACATATCTGAGAGCGCTGCTGCAGCCTTTTCCTGGACGGTGCAGTCCTGCTCTTTTGTTGCCATCAGTCGCCGGGCTGCAGGAAGAAAAAGCTGGGGAGGACTCGCCTCCTTGAAGCCCGATCGGTCGGTGGCGGAAGGAAGGGACGTGATATGAACCCCTCATCCGCTTAAACGGCCGTGCAGCTTAAATAGCTCCGTTTTCAGGGGGTGTGGGGGGTTAACTGAGGATCAGAGAGAACACTTAAATACATTTAACCTGCAGTAGAAGGCCGAGAAATATCGGCGGAACCTGTAGAAATGCCCGGGTTTGATTACAAGTTTCTGGAAAAGCCAAAGAGACGGTTCCAGTGTCCGCTCTGCAGCAAGGCTATGCGGGAGCCCGTCCAAGTGTCTACCTGTGGACATCGGTTCTGTGACACCTGTCTGCAAGAATTCCTCAGGTACGTTGTGTGTTTGTCCAGAGGAGAAATCTGAGACAGAGAGCCGCCTCTCTGTAGGCGATACTGGAGGCGACAGTACAGCCTTGTCTAGTTTCGGTCGAGCGACAGTAAATAAAAGGGTGTGTAGGTGTGTCCTCACCTTTTCTCAGCAGGATTTTAGATTTATTTTAGTCTTTCATGTCGCTGCACAAGTGCACAGGGCCTGGTAAACAGCGCCTGGGTTGAACCCCCGTCCTTTTAGTCGCAGGTGTGTTTCTCTGCTCCACATAAAGATTTAATGAGCTGTTTCAACATAAAAACATGACTGAGGATCATTTTCGTTGGATCAGTCATGGGGGTATTATACAGGACAGGTTTATAATGTTGTCATTGTTCAAACAAAGCTGAGGGGTTTTGTTTTGGCTTCATCATCCATGAGTGAAAAAATTACACTTGCAATTATTATTACAAATTATTATTTAGTTTGTGATTTTGCAGATTTTATTCGTTAAATACAAAAACAATTTTAGGGTAAAGTGATTTAGTGTTAATAGGCTTCATCTTTCATTCTGTGGTGTGTCCTGCAGAGGGCCCCTGTCTCCCCATCCTGTCTGTGTTTTTGCCCCGGGGTGGGAGTCTACATGGGTCTCCACTGGAGGATGATGTGTGTGTGTGTGTGTGTGTGTGTGTGTGTGTGTGTGTGTGTGTGTGTGTGTGTGTGTGTGTGTGTGGGTAGTTTGCCCCCCTCACCTCCTAATCTGCTGAACATTGAAGTCTGTGTTAAGACTTGTAGACAGAAAGCCTTTGTTTTATCTTTAGGTAGACTGCACTGTCCTAAAACAGTCACTAATTATCACACACACCAGAAGGAAGAAACTCACATGATGCACTCAACTTTAATACCAACCACAACTTACCTGCAAATCATGAACTTTTTTGCCAGGCTGATACACTGCAAGTGTGGCCTTGTCATTAAGTAAACTTCTATTAGATGGAGACAGAGTGGCTGGAGATTTGTCTCTGTGTGTGGTGTTTATGAGGAGAAAATCACACAGTTCTCCATGTGCAGAAGAACCATGTTCAGTCTTTGGGGATGTTATGGATAACATAGGATGATAGTAGGATGATATTCTGGACATGAATAATTTGTGCCTTTGTTGATGTTTGAAGAAAAGTTAATTGTATGTTACGTCTCGTTTATCTAGAAGACAAAGATCTTAAGTTATTATAATAATAGTTCAAAGGTGTATTCTTCTGGCAGATTCAAAAATGAGAGTTTATTTGTTTTGGGTGTTCTTTTGTACAGCACAAACTAGGGCTGCAGCTAATGATTATTATTATTTTCCTTCCTTCCTCCTGATTAGTTATTTTATCTCTAAAATGTCAGAAAATAACACAAAATGTTCATCACAGTTTCCCAGAACCCAAGGTGACGCCTTCACATGTCTTCTTTTGTCCCTATGAAATGGCCCACAAATCTCTGAAATGGTTGTTAATATGGCTGCAACAATTAGTTGATTAATTAATACGTCAGTCAATGCCATGCATGGCACAAAATTAAAAACGGAATTAATTTGTATTTTGTGAATGAAAGTAGATATTCATAATTCACACACAGTGCAATGTTGTGTTTTCTAGATGAATATGAGCAGCCTTTGTGCTGCTCACCTGGGATGTTGATATGTTGCGTGATGAAACCAGAGTTTCAGTGATGGAAAAATAAAGAGAGGAAGACAAAACAGAAACTTGCTGTTTGCTCATTTTTGTTTGAGTCACTCTCTGTTGAGAAGTTAAAGCCTTAAGGCTCTCAAATGTACTTAAAGAGCATTTTAATGTTAAAGTCAGTTTTAACACTGGTTTCTTTGCGTGCTGTATTTCTAATGAGAAATCAACTCAGTCTGACCGATTTGCAGTTTTATTCAGTTACACAATGGTCTTACTGTTATTTAACTGCTACCAGCAATGAAAAAGATCTTAAAATATCTTCAGTTTTACTTCATGAAACTTGAAGACAGGCTGAGGGAAGCTCACAAGCAAATACAACTTGTTTGAAAGCAACACTTCCTATTAGGAATGAAGAATATCTAATGTAATTATAAAGTATCATCTTTATATCAACTTTTCATTACCTTCCTATGTCAGAAAAACAGTCTACTAGTTGACAGGAGGGAGGTTGAGATGTAAATGCTCTGAATACAGAGTAGTTCTGTCGTGAGTTCCTACTTTGCACCTTGAGTCATCAGGAAACCTCCTCTGGCTTACTAAACAGCAGCAAATTGCATCTGGTTGAAAAGCAGAAACTCAGATGAACAAAGAGAGCGAGGGAGGAACAGCGTTCGCTGCTGATCAATGAGTTTGGCCCGCCACTTTGTCTGCCTCATCCTGCCCGCCTCCACCTTCGTCCTCCAGTTTACGCTCTTTTTTTAATTTACTCCCACAGACTGAATTCAGAAAAGTTTCCCAACTTCTAAAAGTTTTTGTTGAGTAACTGGTCTGGATGTGAGTGTAGATATGAATATGATTCCTCCCTGTCTGACCTGGCCTAAAGATGTGGTGCCATATCTGTGAGATCTGTACAACTTTTATACAATGCGTGCACAAATCTGCAGGAAAATACTTCTTGAAGGCTCCCTTCAAAAAGGATTTATAATGGCTTCATTAATTGTTAATAAATAATTTTCTAACTTTTCATAAAGGGTGCCTTATTAAAAAGCGGAACCTTATGATCGTATATCAGATTTGACATCAGATAGTCCAAAGGAATTGTTTCAGTCGTTCAGATTTTTCACATAATCAATGTGTTGGCATCTCGGTGTGAGAGATCACATTGTTTCTCACTGAGAACTCAACTCATTTCAGCTGCTGCTTTACGTAAGAGTCCCTGGTTCACTTCTTAAGTAGAATAAAACTTAAATAAACATTTACATCAACAGCAGATGATATTTCAGCTGCTCTTCTTCTCACTAACTCCAACAAAACCACAGCTGAGGCGACCGGCTGCATATTCACCTCTTCAATTAACAAAGTGTGCCAATTTCGCCCAGTTCTGTCAAGCACATGCATCTTTTGTGAGGAGACTACAAGTCAAGTTTATTGAGGCTGACAGATAGTAGTTAGGTAATGCTTTGCCCATTGTGCAACTAGGTTGATCCTTTTTCTGTAATTATTGAAGGCTGTGTAACATCCAGTCCGGGCTTGCCAGCCGAGTCTGCCCACTTTACACTGACAGCTTCTCTAGAGCCTTCTCTAGAGCGTGCTACTCTGTTGCAACAAGCCACCCAAGAATGCTACTGCATGGCATTGCTTCAGTAGTAATCATCCTATCTCAAGAAATAGTCCCTTATCACTTTGCTTAAACGCCACCTTAAATGGTCATAAACCATTATTAGATGTTTATCTACTACATGCTAACGTGTTCTCCAGTTCTCAGTCAGAGTTACTTCAGTCACACTGGGTTACTTCAAAAAGGGTTAATCTTGTATTTTCACTTCAAAGGATTTCAAAAAAACTTTCCTGAGATGCATTCGAGGAAACACATAAATTGTTCTTACTTTTCCATGTCCACAGGCATGTTAGCATGTGATGCTAATGGGCTGTGTTTCCGCCCTGGGAGGAATGTGTAAATACTCTAAAGCAGTCCTGAAGTCTAACCCAGCTCCGAGGGAGAGTCATGGGGTAAAAAGCAGCCCAGCCCTGCGGCCTTAACACTCACAGCAATCAAACATGAGTCACATGCTTTAACAATGAGTGCGTGGTGACCGGGGCAGGCCTTTGTTTTAGCAACACTGCCTCCTTAATAAAGGAGAATCAACACTTAATTGTAGGGCTTATGGCCGTACCACACATGCCAGGTCTTATGGCTCATCAGTCCTGGGAGTACTAAGCCAGTGTAATGCCATGCAATGTGACAGTGGTGTCTCTATGGGGATGATGCAGTGTTGTGCCAAGACCTTGACAGGGGTGTAATTGGTTTGTTCGGCTCGGGAGCCTATTCCTACAGGCCTCCATGCAGTCGTGTAGTGCTGCAACTGCTGACTTACCCAGAGTCACGAGGAACTCCAAAGTGGGCTAATATGAGAATTTTTCACTGCTCGATTATTCACTTTCCAAAAGCCAGGGGAGTGTTTTTTGGAATGGGCCGTGATTCATTTTAACTTTGACACATCCTCTGTGTGTAGTGCAGTTTTTTCTCTTCTCATTGAAGTAGGTGATACTCACTTTTTCTGCTGCGCTCTCCCACGCTTTTATAGTCTGAATGCCCTGATGCACAATCACCAGCATTATAAGTTCTACAGCCCAACACCTCTTCCGTAATTTACTCTTCTTCCACCTTCAACTGTCTGTCTCATTTGAGTATGTGGGCAGAGATAAATCAATACTAGTTTCTTATAAGTTAAGGGAATATAATGTGTCAATAAATCTTTAGGGTAATTTTCAATTATTCAGTTAACTGTTTAGTAGATAAAATAACAGAAAATAGTAAAAAATGCCATCACTATCACATAAAGCCTCTTCAAATGTGTAGTCTTGTCCAAAATCAATTTGCAGTTAAATGAAACAGAGAAAAGCAGCAAATGCAAAAGGCAGGATCATGTTTTGCTGCAAGATAAACAACTTAAATGATTAATGTATTATCAAAATAGTTTTGAGCTATTTTCTGATGATTGACCAATCAACTAACTTTTGGCAGCTTTTGGGTTACCAGGTTGTGTAGAATCCCTCTGACTGGTATTTATTTATGTATCCTTTCTTTTTGGTGATGATGCAGTTATAAACATTGGGAATAGATCAAGAAATGCTTTCTATTAAGCCATAAACGCTACAGCTAGCAACCTCTTAGCTTAGTTTAGCATAGCTTAGCTTAGCATAAAGAGAAAAAAGGAACCGGGAAACAGCTAGCCTGGTTCCTCTAATGCTCATTGATTAATTTAATTAATTATTTGTTTAATCTGTACAAAAACCAAAATGGAAAAACAACAATTTGCAAAAGTCATTGTTCTCTGACAAAAATATATCTGGCA